ATAACGTACAATCGTTAAAGAAACGGCATGAAGCATGGTTACGCAAAAATTAGAGAATGTAAAATATCGGTTGATGACGGATATAGACAGCTTGAAATATATCTCTATTATTATTCACTGCATTTTTGGTCTTGTTTGCTTTTAACCAATTACATTTAGCTGTATCAATAAACTGGTACCCACTGCATTATCGCAGAGTACACTCCACTAAGATCTTGGAGTAAGTATCCAAACGCATTTCGCATGTCATACCAAACTTGGTATAAGGTGCGGTGTAGACGCCAGGTTAGGTAATAGTACAATCTTGGCCAAAACGTTGTGCTCATTGCACCTATCATAAGAACTGAACTACTTTGCGCCATATGCAACCGATCATTACCTTCCAGCCTGCACGATAGCCGACGCGCTAGTAGCTCACGGTATAAGTTAAGGATAATGGAATGTAGACATATCGGCCGCTAGTTTGCTGGCTATTGAGAAACCCTTTTTTGCGGTGCCCACTCCTAGTTTTGGGGTGCTGGAATTGCCGTCGTCTTAATGAATTTAGTTCACTTCACGCTGACCGGATTAGCCGGGACCTTGCAGCTAGTCGATTTTGACGCTGCTAATAATCAACATCCAGCTTATCAAGTCCATTAAGATGACCAAGCTTAAAGCCAGGTTGAACATTTGATCAAGTTTCACTCCAAGTCGACCCACAAGCTGGTCAAGCTTCTTTTCAGGTTGACCAAGGTTATATAATCTGGACGCTTAAGTCCCAGTCCAAGACAATGAGCTGAAGACAAAAAAGCCAGGCGGAATTTGCATGGTACAACATAATGTACTACAGAGCAATGCTGCCAAGACCTGGCCCAGGTATCTCTTTCGACATGCTCATTGTTCATTCTGCGATTTACAACTCAAGTCTCATCGATGAATTCATTTTCTTTGTAATATTTCAAAGCAGCTTCACTGTGTGCGGCTTCTAAGAGTAATGACCATATGACATGAAACGAAAATTAACATATCTATAATCGTAAACAATACAAATCAAGTTGTTTAACAAAATCGAGTAACTCAAAAAGATGAAGCCGTTCAATTCTTCCCGAATGTACCACGGTGTCGCATCATCGGCTAGGTACAAGTTCTAAAGACCAAGGCGATGAAGCTCCTATTCAAGTTATCCATGCCACGGCTTCAGCCTACCAAGATGAAGCCAAAGACGGACTTCACGATGACGCTAGGTAGTGAGTGATCCGGTCGGCTTGGCTTTTTATGGACCTCAATCTAGCTCAGTGGTTGTTCCATCCATGCGCCTCTGATGAACGGTACAGTGAAAGTTCCTACTTCAAAAAGCGAAGACTACTGAGACCTGTCTCGTCACGAGCTGGTGCAACGCGATGGGAGCCATATCACCGCATTATCGGGCGGCTGATCCCCGCGTAATAGACAGCGACCAATACAATTTCTCAGCGGTCTGATTTCACGCTTCTCATCAAAATCCGAGGTGATTAATGATGGTCGAGTGAGACCGACACATTGGGATTCTAGTATCCATGGTGCACGCCGACTCAACTCTGGGAAGGTGGTGGTACAGTGCTTTTGAGCTCAAGTGGCAGCGTGATTTGGATGTGCTTGCACTTCCTCACCTCTTACAGCGAGAATAATAATTTGGTCGAGCATATGGCATCGCAACTTAGATGCAGAGCGCAGTGCACCACGGCTTCACTCGGTTGCTTATCGAAGGTAACATCAGCCTGGTACTAGCACAGGTGAGAGGCTCCTTCATTTGCACAAAAAAGCGAGAAAGTTAAGTACTCGAGTGACCACCGAAATGGAGCAACTATAATGGTACCAGCTATCACCGGCAATCTAATGACCAAGATTGCCTTGCCAATTGAACACTGGGCCTTTGATGTACCCGCCTTATTAGGTACGATACTGGATACCTATTCATTATTGGCTGATAGTCATTCGGACACGTGTCAATTCCCGGTGAGATCACTATTGATTGTCACAATAGTGATCTAGAATATTTTCCTTAATTATTAAAATAAATTCCAGGAATATGTTTGCATAAAATCATGTAGTGCTTCCTCGCTTATGATAGTAGGATGAGGTCATACCTCACATTCAAATCTAAGACCAAACATCGTTCCATGCAGTTAAAGTTCAAGAACTTTACATTTAAGTCCATCGGGACTTTGGATAACGTAACACGCGTAACTGTCGCTAAGCGAATTGTGACTGTGCCACTCTCATGCGCTCAAAGCTGTAGCATACTGCTGACTACCTTCCACGTTGCCATAGCGGGCATAATTGCCTGAAGTCCCCCAAATCGATCAAAATGATCCATGGCTTATCAAAGCCCTTAACCTTCTCTCGATGACCAAAAAGCATGCCTTGCATTATCGTTCCGTATTTGAGAGCTCAGGTGTCTTTGAGGCTGGCCCCTGCTTACTTCTACCTCCTCGAGGTTCAGCAGAACTCAGTTCTACTCCAGTAGGGCGCCCCGCGCCTACTGGGTCCCGCCGTTTCCCCGCGACAAACCAGAGGGTTTATGCATGGGTCGTCGACCCTTCGGGGCCAAATATGCCTTTCTTGCAGGGCATTTTGTCATCAATTGTCCTGTGCTCTTGCAGATACAGCATATGCGCCCATTTGCTGCTCCACAGCTTGGAGATAAGTATCTTCTTCTCCGACTTGGCTAAAATTCATGGGAACCGACCCATCCGACGAGTAGCCATAAGTGGCAGGACTAGCGGCCCTAAAGTTAGTCCGGCATTCCATGCCACTCGGACAGCTTCCTCGAACAAGGACGGGTTTACCCGGAAGACTTCCGTTCTGGCAACGCCACCTAGGAGGCTCTCCATAAATACCGTGACGAGTCACAAGTTTCGATGACCATGGCGGCAATAAAAGTTCTCAACTCTTACACATATACCGCAAGCTCACGCCTGCCTTGATGACACGCCAAAAATTGCGACCAATTTCGGTGCTCCTGATTTGTCGGTGCATACTGCCGGGTCATATGACCTTTGATATCGGCCTATACTGAAAATGCGTCTTGCAGTGATGCAACCCATGTGAATGTCCATTGTTTGGCTAAACACCCATCTTTCCCGTGGAAAGCGAACACGGTACAGCCGTCAAACGTATCGACTTCCATATGTATAAGTTTTGGTCTGTAACACTTCTAGCTCCATAGTGCCATGGGCGAAGGCGCAGAAGTAGGCATCTGTGCCTTTACACGCTCTACCAGAGCGTTATTATACTCCTCAAGCATATGTAATACGCTTGCTAACTTCTTCACCTTGGGCGATGAGGCATTTCAACCTCTTTGGGCCAAGAAGAGGGAGCAGATTTTGCAACCCTTCCTGTGATGCCTGTGATGTGCCAACCGCGGACATCTCTTCGATGTCTATATTCACAAAGAAGTATTCACAAATCTAAGTGCAAGGTTGATCAACAAAGTGAGACTGAGTGTACGTGACTACGTAAGATGCTGATTCAGCAAAAGCAAGCGCTCTGATCACGCCAGACTGAAGTGGATGAAAGTGTATTGTTGTTTTTTTCTCTAGATTGTCTGAAAAACGCAGAGGATTGAGTGGAATTGGTTTGCTTAGTGGTGCCAGTATGATTTGCAGCAAGATTTTTGCATCATTATCATTCCAGTTTGGAATGTGTCCACCAAGGGATCGGTAGGACGTATCAGAATATCCGATCCGGCTGAAATTGGCGAGGTCTATATCTCAGTGTGCAACGGTGTGTGGGTGAATGCATGGATTGTGAAATTGGGAAAAAGCGTCCCGCGATTCGTGGTACACTTCTTGGGAATGTACAAGCTACAGACCCATTTCAAATAATTGACATGGACCATATCCCATTGCTACCATGATCGCACAAAGGAAATACGGAATTCTTTCTGTCGGTCGATCTATTCTGTAGGTATGTGATTGCGAAGGCAATTTCGTATCGGACAGCACAAGTCATTGCGGAAAATTATGAAGAATGTGTTTTCGGACGGTTTGGTGCCAGTGGTGCGATCCGTCACGATCGCAATCCGGGTCATGATTTTTCAGAGTGTTCAACTGTATCGCAGGACAGAAACAACATGTGACTATAACTTACCGGCCTCAAGCTAACAGAACTGTGAAACGCATGATGCATTTTTAGCAGGGGCTCTAAAGATGTACGTAACGGATGTGGGAGCGATTGACATTTGCGCTTAATACAGCGCAGGATCGCATCCGTGGGGATACCTCCTTTTATTCAATTCATGGTTGGGATCCACGATCTACTTTATACGCAACGTTACCCCTGTAAAGCACGAAACCGCGTCATCGGGAACCAAATTGGTACATATACTGGTTCTTAGTAAACACGTGTACGTTTAGATGTTACGACTGTAACTATAAATACATTCGTAACATCTAAACGTATACGTGTTTATGTCTCTTCCGTGTTGAATTGTTGGCCATTCGTTGAATAAGGAGAGTTCACGTACGTACATCAGATTACCTCTCGAAGGTTTTTGGCCAGAGTTTCAAGCATATCCAAGCCAACTGAGATCGGACGCAGCGTTCAAGCAAGGAACCTCTACGAGACGGCTCAACAGGATAAACAAGGATGAAAAGGAAGATTCAGGGTAGACTACTGTGATCGCGTGAGGAATATCCACGCGATCCACCACCTTCGATAAAGACCCCATCACGATCAAGATCGGATCAAGTCTACCGAGGATAGTGCATCCCGCTCAGTCGACGGGTCCACAAGGTGAGGAAGTACAGTGGAAATAGTACTCCGATACGGTGTCAAAGTGCCATTTCCATCAGTCGACAGTTCGGACGCCAGTGATGGTCGGGATCACAGAGAATTTTTTTGTGATCATCGCTCCACCACAAAGTTGCATGTCAAGATCCGCCACCAGACTCGGTGGTAAAGTTTGGTGGAACAGGATGGAAGTATCCGTATCCATGGCAGATTAGGGTCAAAGTTTGTGATGACCGGGGCAAGCATTTATGATACTGGACATATTGCTTACAAAGGAGTTTATAAAATGGTATCTTGGCCGTTTTCAACCAAGACGACACGAATTCGGTGCTGAAGCGGCGTCGTCTTCGGGAAAACTACCGCTGCCAGCACTAGCTTCTCGAGCGCCGAGACGCTGGTGCAATTTTGAGAACCATTGTGCTTATAACATGGATGCCATTCGTTTGCGTCAGATGACGCGCTCAATCTTATTAGCAAAAAGGTCACCCGCTGCTGAAATTCGTTTGAATCAGACTGCTCTGAGTATAGGGAGCGGCTTACACCCAAACATTGTGATTTGGGACACCACGAGCCAGACAAAGGTAATTGCCGATTTGGCGATCACCTTTGAAGACAAGTCTGCCGGCGCTCGCCTCGTTGCAGCTAAGTTATGATCACAAGATGCTGAAGTATCAGCCACTAGCGACGGATATGCGGCTAACGGGGAGCGGATGCATACTGCTGCCATTTTGTTTATGACACACTGGGCTCGGTGAAGCCCAGCAACTTCAACACGTACCTTGAAGTTTTTACTTTGCTCAACGCAGCTCGACAGCTCGACACCCAGCTACCAAGTCGCTTCATGTGCGCCAGTCACCGTATATGGCTCTGGCACTGCAGTCAACATCGGCAGCGACAACGGAGTGGTCCTGTCTTGGAAGCGTCGAGTGGGACTGGGGGACCTAGCGTCACTTGCAAGCAGGCAGTGCAAGGTAATAAGCTGGTCCTTCTTGACCGACAGGGCAGTACCGAGGTAGGTAACCGCGTTACAGACTTAGATCGACAAATCACCCAACATTTTGGCCGCTCTCGCAATATTATTGGAGAGACTCATATCTGGTAATACATCCAACTTGACGTGAAATTGACTCTTTTAAAGTGCGGCTTCACTATATTTTGGTATTCCTCAGTGTGGAAACAACGCCATTTTCCATTTTCAGATGATGATCTATTAGAAAATAATGCGTGCTCTTTACTATCATGTATTTGCATATAAACATCATTATCCGTTAGCGTCACATATCATTTTTTACATGGTATAAATGGCCAACTTAAGTATGAGGCACACTGATTGATCGATACCAGGATAGATATCAGACGCAGCGAGCACTGTGTGATCTACACGCCGTTTACTGAGCACTCGGGTGCAATTTTAGGATGCACCAACGTTTTGGCGAACGCAAGCATCGTAAGCAATTCAAACTTTACCTAGCCTTGGCAGAAAGACAAGCCCAAGAGTGTTGTCTCTCAAGACAAACATTGCGCAGGGCTGCTGAATGGAAAGAATAAAGACAGTCGACGAGACCAGAAAGAACTGGTAGTTGAAGCCGTAAGCTCAGCGGCAGGGATCATCACTTGATTTTAACACTTGATAGTTATAGATGCCCTGCCATCAACGTCATGTCAAAGCACTTCAGTTTTGCTGTTCAGGCTAGAAACAACTGATGTAAAGGACTGATGCTCCTTAACGTGTCTATGAAAGGGTGTAAATTGTGCGCATAGCACTGATGAAACAGACGCGTTGACGTTCATGAATGTTGCTTCCAGTAGAAATATGGTAGATAAACACTCAATTCAGCGTATGGTCTGCGTTTTATTTCTTAAACATGGTTGCTAGCTGTCAAAATGCAAGTTATTGATACTTTTTGACGGCAATTTGTTGTCGCTTCATCCATGATATAAATAACTTACAATGTCATTTTCCTTGGAATCTTGCGAGGTCGCACGTATCAAGAAGTCAGCTCATGGGATCGGCAGTCGCCAATGATTGGCTAACACCGATTGGGACAGAACGTGTGTACAAATCCAACGCCTATGGTCGATCATACTCCGATTATGTCAAAACAAAACATGTTTTGACTCCAACTTTTGTCTCACTTGTATTCAAACCGTTCAAACTTCAGTTTCAGCCAAATATTTCAGTGGCTGTCGTCAACGACATTCCATTGTCTCATTCCTGTATTGACCGTCCGTCACCACCAGTCGCCACTCGCCTTTACTACAACCGACACACACGAGATTATTTTAATCTCAATCATGGGCAAAGGACAACGTACTCGTAAAGCTGCAGCTGATGCTGTCTTAGCGGCTGCTATGACACTGAAGAAACCGTCTGTGCTTGAACAGCCAACAACGATTCAAGTGGTAACACCCAAGACGTCTTCTACTGTCAATGTGCTTCAACCATCTGCAAGTCCAAAGCCGTCACCACCTCACTCGGAAACATCTGTATCTTTATCCGATGATTTGGATGAATACCGTGATCTCACGTCAAAGGAACAGATTGAGACGTTCAAAGCTCTTGAAGATATGGATACGATTAAAATACAGCTGGATGTTATTTTATCACGTCTTGTGGCAGCCTTTAGCTCCAAGAATGAACGTCATGCTGCTGCAAATGATATTGTCACAGCTCTAGAAATTGTTACAGTAGCTAGTCCTTTGGGCATTCATGTCCTTGACGAACTCAAGACATTTCTTGTAGCAAAGCCAACGACTGCTCGAGAAGGTGCATTGCTTGCTTTTATTGCTCTGTGTAAGAGCAAGGAGCTTTCATCAGTCATGGAGCCTGTGGTTGTCGAGCAGCTGACGACTCTAATGCAGCGTCACGCAGACTCGGAGCATGTTGTGAAGAACGCAGCGGCATTGCTGGCAAAGACAATCGCACAGAAGATCAATCCACTAGCTATTCACTCAGTTCTCAAGCAGATCTATAAGGCACTAGAGCTACGTCAGTGGCAGAGCAAGGTAGCTGCACTGAATTTACTCAAGGTGCTTAGTGACACTGCAAGTGAGGAGGTATCTGGTTGGCTGCCAGAGATCATTCCGATCGTTACTAAGTACGTTTGGGACACAAAGAAGCAGGTTCAGACTGCGTCGATCGACGCGTTGATTGCCGTGTGTTCCAAGATCAGTAATGACGATATTGTGCCACTTGTGCCCACCCTCGTGGGCGTCATTGCTCGTCCTGAAGAGACCATGAAGGCTATTGATAGTCTTTTGGCGACCACTTTTGTGTCAAATGTAGATGCGCCAACGCTATCTCTGATTGCGCCACTGTTGCACAAGGCTCTGCGTGATACAAGTATTCACAGCTCATCGCTCAAGCGAAAGGCAGCTAAGATTATTGACAGCATGTGTCGCCTAGTGGTGCGTCCGTCCGATGTGATGCAGTTCGTCCCGCTGCTGCTTCCACAACTAGAAACTGCCATTGACCGTTTGATTGATGAGGAGGTTGTTGAATCTGCTAAGGAAGCTCGCGCTCACCTTGTGCACGCCGCGGGTGACGGCGAGGCTATGGAGGAAGACCCTATTGAAATCCGCAAAAAGCTGGAATCGAACATTTTGACGGCATTTAGCGATACGCTTGACCGCCCAACGCATCCTGGTCTGAACGACTTTACGCTGGAATACGTTACTGATGTTTGCACGGAGTTAGCGACACACAACCGTGGATCGGAGTGGCGCACCATTGTGATGGCCTACCTGATGCCGCACATGCACGACAAAGATGCCGAGCATCTCTGTGACGCGCTGCGTGCTGCTGGTGGTGGCCTGGGTGTGGAGTGTGAGAAGTCGACGGACCCTAACGACGTGTGCGATCTCGATTTCTCGCTAGCATACGGTGGCAAGATTTTACTTCGTAACGCACGGCTCCGTCTAACTCGCGGCCATCGCTATGGTCTGATTGGTAAGAATGGTGTTGGCAAAACCACGCTGATGCGTAATCTAGCGACGGGTGCCATTGAAGGTCTGCCGGAGACCCTGCGGTGTGTATACGTGCAGCACGAGGACATTGTGGAAAGCCAAGGAAGTCTGCTTAAGTCTATGTGCAAGGCACCGGAACTGGCCCATCAGACTCTTGATGCTGTCGAGAAGACCTTGACTGCCATTGGCTTCACCCAGAAGATGCTGGATGGCAAAATTGATGCGCTTTCTGGAGGTTGGCGCATGAAGCTTGCCTTGGCTCGTGCCATGCTATACAATGCAGACGTGCTGCTACTGGATGAACCGACGAATCACTTGGATGTTCACGCTGTACAGTGGCTAGTAGATTATCTAAGATCCCTTGATACGATGACGGTGCTGCTAGTGTCTCACGATACTGGTTTCCTGGACAACGTGTGCACTGACATTTTCCACTATGAGTCAAAGAAGCTGGTGTTGTATCCGATGACTTTGTCTAAATTTGTGGACATTCACCCGGAGGCGAAGCACTATTACGAGTTGAAGTCATCCGACATGGTATTCAATTTGCCGGAACCTGGTCGATTGGAGGGCATTAACTCCATGACGCGTCGAATTTTGACCCTTGACAACGCAACTTTTACGTACCCAGGTGGCGCCAAGCCTCAGCTTCAGAATGTTTCTGTGAAGCTGTGCCTGGCTTCGCGAGTTGCTGTGATTGGCGTTAACGGTGCTGGAAAGTCGACCCTCATCAAGATGATTGTGCAAGAGACATCGCCCGACACGGGCACATTTTGGAAGCACCACGCCGTGCGTGTAGCATACGTGGCCCAGCACTCGTTCCATCACGTTGAGAAGCATCTTGAGAGTAGTCCAGTGGAGTACTTTCAGTGGCGTTTTGGTGGCGAGAATGGCATTGATCGTGAGCTTGGTGACCACGTTAATCTCAAGCAGACAGAGGAGGAGAAGAATTTAGTTGGCAAGAAGCAGGGTCAGGTGGAGAAGATTGTATCTCGTACCAAGGGTAAACGTGGTACATTGGAGTACGAGTGTAAGCTCGTGGGCTTGACGGAGCGTCACAATAAACGCTACACTCTTGAACAGCTTCAAGAAATGGGTCTGGGTGCACTTGCTGAAGCAGAAGACATTCGTCAAGCGACGCTTGCTGGTGGTCTCGATCTTCGTCCACTTACGACAAAGGAGGTTCAGCGTCACTTGGACGACTTTGCTCTGCCCGCTGAATTTGGCACCCATGGCAAGATTCGTGGTCTATCAGGTGGACAAAAGGTGAAACTTGTGATTGCTGCTGCCATGTGGAACCGTCCGCACTTGTTGGTACTGGATGAGCCGACAAATTACTTGGATCGTGCTGCGCTCGGTGCGTTAGCCGATGGAATTCGTCAATATGCTGGTGGTGTCATTATGATTTCTCATAGTGAAGAGTTTTACAATTCCTTGTGTACGGAGAAATGGTTGGTCGAAGCTGGTCAGTTGACAATTATTGGTGAAGCTCAGGAGAAAGAATATCGTGCTGGTGGTGGTCGGAAAGTGCTTGAAGACGAACCGGAAGACGAGACGAAAGCAGGCAGCAATATCAATGCCAACATGAAACGTACCAAGCTCACGAATCCCAAGACACTGCGACCACTGAGTAAACAACAGATTCGTAAACTCAGCAAGTTGTGTAAGACTGCAGGTGTCTCATTTGATGATTTTGTTGATGGGATTACGCGTGAAAGTCCCGAGTGGAAATGGCTGTAAGTGATAGAGACTTGATTTTACTATGGAAACGATAGAGAAATTGATATACAAATTCCGGATGTGTTGATGTAAATAGGATAATATCCGCAAACTTTGTGCAATTGAAGTAACAGGAAAGTAAATTGGGTAAACAATTTTAAGTTAGGATTCTTTGTCCCAAGCCCACTACATAATGGCTACAAGCCGAAGTCCAAGTAGCAGTGAAGTCACTCGGCGTCATGGCAATCGCAGCCGTCGCGATGGACGACATGTGAGTAAACAAGATCGGAAGAGTGATGACCGACGTTTGACGCATAAGAAACGGCAGCGATCTCGCAGTCGTAGCATACATAATGAGGAAAAAACTCACAAGAAACACTCGAAGAAAGACAAGAAACACTCGAAGAAAGACAAGAAACACTACAAAACGAAGAAGAGAGATAACTCCACAAGAGGCAGCAAGTGCAAAAGTAGCAGCAAATTCTACGTGTGATCCAATGCATGTCGAGGACGGAGAGAAAATCGCGGACGAAGAGAGAGAAAAGAGATTGTCACTTGAGACAAAGTCAATGGATGCAACGAGTTTTTTTGAACAGCTTGAGAAACAAGAAGCAGCTAAAAGACCAGTGGGAACAGTTCACTCTCGTGGTCTTCCTCCACCACTATCAGCCACAGCAATCTCAGTATGTGACAAATGGGAATGTAGCAAAGCTGGTTGCGGTCAGATGAATTCGAAACACGCTCCATCTTGCAATAAATGTGGTGCCATGAAACGAATGTCGGAGTGGAGATAAGAATGACAAAAGTGATCGCGACATGATGGAGAATAGGCAGAGTCATTGACTTGTAGCATCGATAATGTCGTCGTACATCATATGCATTGGATTTTTCTTCGCACTAAACTTGTTTTCATAATTTTAGAATCTGATATGAATCTGAAGTTTGCCAGCTGATAAAAATCTGGAGCAAATCTCGTGCAACAACCTGTCACTTTTTATTTTATCTAGAAAAAATCCATCCTACCAAAAGTATATACTTTCGATTTCGTACTTATCAAAGTTTTATCTTATTTTTCCTTGTTTTTTATCTCTTTTCTAACACCACCCACTTTTGTTTTCTTTCATTGCTCTATAGTCAGTTACTCACTCACGTACATCATTTTTTTCATTCAAACGGATAAAATCCTTGCTTTTGATAGCTTATTCTCTAACCTCATGAACGAAACGGACCAAATCCTCCGTACTGGTGTGTTGTTTAAAAAAAGGGTCTGGTTCCGGTCCATTTGGTCGTAAAAACTGGAAACCACGATATTTTGTGCTCACACCGACGCGTTTACAGTATTTTACCTTTGAAAATGGAGAACGAAAGGGTGAAGTGAGTTTACAGGGTTGTGATGAAGGTGTATTAGAAGTAATGCCAGCTGATAGTATGAAAACAGGTAGTAGTGCTTCAACAATATGGCGAGTTGCGATTAATGCACCAGAACGTCGTCTCTTGGTTGCTGCTGGTACAGAAATGGAAATGAATGATTGGGTTGATAAACTCGTCATGGCTTTTCGTATTAATTCAGGTCAACCACCATTACAACGTGCTTCTATGCCTGCTTCATCGTTAATGATGAATACTAGTGGGAGTAGTAGTCTGACGATTGGTCATAGTGTCAATAGTAATCCAAATATTCGAGATTTTCAAAACTTTTCCGTCCCACGACGTGGAATGAATCAACGTCATAGTACTGGAGGACACGGTGAAATGCGTGTATCAATGGCACATCAAGGAATCTATGATGGACAGATTGAGAGTATGAAGAAACAAGAGTTGGAAGAACAAGATCAAGTAGAAGAAGAAGAGGAGAAGCGACTTGCGGGAGAGTTGAGACACGAACAGCAGCTGTGGAAAGATCAAGAGGAACGACATGTAGCTGAACAGGAGGCTGAAATGCGCCGACAATTGGCAGCTCAACAACAGAAAGAACAAGAAGAAGAAAGGGCGATGCGAGAAAGACAAGAAGCTGCTGCATTTGCGGCGGCTGAGAAGTTGCAGCGTGAGGAAGAGCAAGAAAAGATGGCCCAGATGAAGCGCAAATTACAGCATGAGAAGGATATAAAGATGCAGCAGGCAGTGGCATTGCAACGGGCTCGTGAGGAGGAAGCTGCACGGATTCAACATGAACAGGAGCAGGAGATGATTCGAGCCAAGCAACTAGCGGACGAGATGGCGATGCAGCAGACGCTACAACTTCAGTCTGGTGGAGATATGCTTGAGCTACAGCGTCATCAGAAACGAGAAAAGCACGCGCGTCAACGCATGGAGCGTAAGGAGGCAATTAAGCTAAAGCTGCAGCAGGAAAAGGAGGAGGAGGACATTGCGTTTCGTATGACGCCACACGACGTCTCACGTCTCAATGTGGACGATAAATTGGACAACAATGACAATGAGCCAGAGCGTTCGTCGATGCCTCGTGTTAGTGGCGGGGGTCTACCTATTGAGGATGCAGTACATCCGGCACCTTCCACTACACCACGCTCGTCGCTTGTTGGCAACGTGAAACGCGAGATGATTCAAAAGCAGCAGATAGAGCGTCAACGGCGTCGCGAAGCTGCACTTCAGAGGCAGCAGCACCAGCAGACGCGAGGTGTTGAAAAACGTCAGCAGCATGTTGAAATGGAGCAGCAATGCGCCAAGATGGAGACCTTGCACGTGCATGAAGCTTTCCATGAAGTTGAAGTGGCACCTCGTGAGATTGAAGTTGTGCGACGAGCACCAGTGAAGAAACCAGCACCTGCAACTGCTCCCATGGAGAGTTTTGAGTTTTAAGGAGCTATTAAACGACACATTAGCATGTCGTTAATTTTTTTAGTGATTGAAGAAGACAAGAATCAGTAGGAAGCGATGATATGAATGGTACTGCGTTAGATATGAAGATAAAGGAGCTATTCATTTTCATTAATGTCTCTATCTGTTTTTCTTAACCTTTTATTATCAATCAACAGGATATTTTTTTGCCATGTTCGACTACACACGTAAAAAAGGTTGATGGATATTATCCATCTGGGATTGGATTAAATTCATTTTCTTGCAAAAAAGACTTGTCAAAAAAACAAGAATCATCTATACTCATGGCAAATCCGCAGTCGGACATACCTGCATGTAGTGTAGACATTACTCGAAACAACATGTTTGTTTCTTCACCATGTGTATTTCCAGGAGAACGCAATCAATATCCTGTAAATATTGCCGTGGATTTTACTCGATTGCGGGTACGAAAAAGTGTACGAGGAATATCATGACATTTTTTATCCTTCAAGTCGGACATTTTTGCTCGTTTTTTTTACGTAAAAAAACATTATTGCAAAAATGGATAAAATCAAAAAATAGTTGCTCACCATTTATTCATTTGGCGTAATTATTTGCTTGCCATGATATGCCCATTTTGTGTATCAAACTTGCGTTGCGTTGTATGTAGTCCCACGCATTGCGCAAGTACATGACATTTTATAATATCCCGCAAGTACCAGAAAGTTCAAGAGAAGAATTAGCAATAACAGTTGCAAGGTATAGATTGGATTTTATTTTGCTTGAATTGAATGTGTTATTGTCGTATATAATTTCGCTACTAATGAAATGGGATGTTTTTTTGTGGGTGGAATATTATCGCATATTTTAGACACTTTCACGTGGAGTGCAAAAAGACGGATGAAAATTCCAGTATCACGTCATTTGTGACTTTTGTACGTGGCAAAAAAAACCTTAATGAGCAAAAATGCTAATTTGGTGATTGTGTAACCTCATGTTACCCAAATTGCTGCTACTTCACAGCTTACGGGATCAAACGATACTGTGAAAGCTGCAGAAATGCTGCGATCACGGTCACAAATGTATCAAGTGATCAACAAAAAACAGGATGATGACAATCAGGAGGAGGTGAATCAAGTGAACGATTACATCAATGAGGTTTTTGATACCGAATTGGTAGAAAGACATGTCGATGATTTGTATGGACAGAATACTCAAGAGGATGGAGCTGAGTTTGACGGTATGATGCATTCATTTGTGGTCAAGAAACGGCGTATGGTGAACCAACAGAATGCAAAAGATGGACCACGTGGACACGACCAAACCCATGAGCATGACGATGCTGGTGGGATGCAAAAGAAGAAGCGAAAAGGACGACTGTACTGCATTTGTAAGGGTGGCAGTTTTGGAAACATGATTGCGTGTGACAACAAGAAGTGTCTGGATCGATCCAATTGGTATCACATGAGTTGTGTGAGTCTAAATCCCATCGATGAACCACCTAAAACATGGTATTGTCCAGCATGTCAAGCAAATGATTCAGCAGATATTCCAGAAAATCGTACGTGATGGATCGAGTAGTAGCTTGTTTGTCTGTGTCAAATGTGTATTGACTCGTTGTTTTTTCGTTTTCAAATCAGAATATCGCAAACCCGTGGCAAGTGTTACGTATGGAGATATGATCTCGCATGCATTGACCATTTTGCCTGAAGGCAAAGTACGTGGCTCTGTGCCAATTCGTAGATGTAGCCATTTCAACCGTCGTGCTGCCTGACAATTCGTGTGCAATGGTTCATCACACTACTGGTGTTCTTAGGGTTCATTCAAGGATATTTGCGACTTTGTTGAGACTGAATACGAGAGTCAACTCAACTGGAAGTTAGAAAGGTGAGTCGTTGATACATGTACTGTTGTGAGATAGCTTTCGGTGTCGATGACGATGTACGAGTAGATCAAGTGACTCTAACCTCTGGTATTGTACTGTGGTCTTATAGTGATCAGCGTAAATCGCCCGTGTGGAAATCCTCCGTGCGTAAGATTCTCTTTTCCAACGGTCGTTTTCGAAAGCATCCCGAAGGCAAAGGTTTGTTTTGCTTGGCTGTGTAATCAAGGCATCATACGGCCTCCACATTATCATTATGTCACGTAGCGTTCCTGTCATCACTAACATCAACTTACAGTTGAGAAATGAAGTATCTTACAATTCAAGTTTCAAATGCTTCATCTTCTTGCATACAATTTACACTACCTTGTCTACAAATGAATAATGACATAGCAACAAGATGTAAAAACCAAGCAACCACTGTCACAACATGTGCAATGTATTTCTCTGCACGTTATGCAAAAAAAACCAGCACAACAAAGCGAACGGGTCACAAAAACACAGTCAAGTGACAATGTCCTTTAGCTCCTAGACCTAGATAAAAGAAGAAAAGGAGACAAACAACTTTTCTCTTTCTCTCTCTTTTGGTCGTCACGTGCTGCTTGCTGCAAAAAGACGTCCATCTACTTGTCGTTCGAATCCAGATCCGGCAGTTCTTCATCATCGTCATCACTTTCACTGCCCTCCCCCATCATACCAGCAGCATTTTGTGCTGCCATCATCTGGTTAATGTCAAATCCACCACCACCATTCAATGCACTCATGTCAAAACCACTTTGTTCTTCGTCTTCATCTTCATCCACAAATTTCGTCCAATCAATTTTCACATTGGTCTTTTCAAGATGTTTATCAGCCAATAAACGTGGCCAAAACTCCTCCTCTTGATTCTTCTTGACAATATGAAAATGCACATTACGATCCGTTTTTGCCCAAATACTGTCCTTTGCTTCCGCATCCACGTCCTTGAAAAAATCCAAAGATACTTCATACAATTTACCATTGCTCATACCCCTGTCAAAACGAATACAAACATAGAGACACAATAGCATTGTATCCACATCATTATCATGTTAGTCTCTCTCTATCTCTCTCTCTATCTCTATCTCTATCTCTCTATCTTCTATCTCTCTCTATCTATCATCAATAGAAATGGGTACAAAATCAAAAAATACGTACTTAAATGTAAGATTTTTGCTATCAAGTGTCACCTTTTCATCCTTAACATCTGGTAAATCCACCGTTACATACAGTGCGTCCTTTCGTTGTGCCCATTTCACAGGTGCCCATAATGCTTTTGTCTCCGACATTATTGGTAGATAACAGACAAAAGGTGAATGAAATGAATAAATGAGAAAAATGAGTCTCTTCTTCTTCTTGTTATAAGCAGCTTTTGTAATAGTGAGGATTCGAGAATGTTTGGTTCTAAAGGATTCATGTACAATACGTAAAATAAGAGAAAAGATAGGATAGTTAGGCTAGATATGATATAATAGAGGATGATGGTGAATGAGTCGCATAGTAAGTATTCATCAATTCAAATGAATTGCATGGACTTGACACGATTCACTAGTACAATTCTTTTTTTATACGATACAAAACAAACTACTACTGTCTCACACACACATGTCTTTCTCGTATACATGACATTTTACTACCTATCTCTCTACCTACAACAAATAGGTGTTTCTCTTGCTACTACAGAAACTCACTTCATTCGTCATATTTTCTTTCTCGCCCTTTGTAACAACACACACACACAACGACGCTTGCTTGTAATCGGCTGCTTTTTTGCTTGTTGTCACGGCTCTTATTCTTGTTCTATCAATAGTCGCACCGCTTTATACAAACGACTGGCTCCAGTAAAACATAAGTGCGTCCTCACGTAACATAATGAGGTTGTGTTGATACTTGGGCAAGGAATGCACGGCCTGAGAGTCACGGTCCAGTTCGTCGACGAATTGAGACGTTATTTTTTCACATTCGTCTACAGACAAGCAAATGTCCCGCAGTGGATGAAAAACCACCTGGGTCTGAACGTCATCTTGAGCTTCGCTGTAGAATCCAAGCTACACCAGAACAAAGCAAAGCAAAAAGCGAAAAAAAGAGTATCAGAATCAATGCCACTTCCATCACTCACAACATGACCCCCTACCATGCGTTGAAACTGATCAAAAGCTGGGAGCCCAAGCTTCTGCTCTTGCGCATCCGTGTACATCCGAGCCAGAATGTAAAACACTTGATCTTCACCATTAGGTGCCTCGGTGGCACCACAACTTCCAAGATGATCAAACTCTCTTAGCAATTCAGGCTCGCCCTTGTCGCAACGGTCGAGGTTGATGCCCATATTGGTCATTTCGCTAAAGAAAGACGTACCAATGACACCTCCAAAAGAAGAGCTCGTGTCCTGACGGTAGTTTTGAGATTGCTGTTGTTGCGGGTCAAAGGCCGGGTGATCCTCTACGGAGGTGTTCTTGTTTGAAAACAGCTTCTCAGTACTGTTGCTACCTATCATCTCCATTTGGTTGTGAAATGCATTGCTTTCAAACAAATTACCGATTCCCGATGCAGATCCCTGCTTTTGTCCACTGTCCCCGAGCACACTCCCTTCAGTCATAGCCTTATTCGTGTACGGAGATATTGTCATGGAAGGCCGCTGAGCTGCCGACGTTGCAAAAGCAGTCAACGCTTTGGGCGATTCGTCCTCCGCTTTTAACGCAATATTAACAGTATTTCGTTGCACATTCAGCGACGAAGAACCGGCCATAGCGCTGCTACCGTAGCTGTTTGCGCTGGAAGTAAGAGGCGCGCTCATACTTATACTCTGTTCAGGCAACTGCTGGCAAGCTGCGTACTCACTCTGCTGCATTTGTGCCCCGTCCTTCTGAGAACGGTACAGCATATTTCCATTACTACTGTTGGGAGAGAACACGCACTGCGGACTGTGCGAAACTGCGGGGCCCGCCGCTAGCATGTCAACACCATTTAGCCGCCGACAGTGTGGGCAGCGATAGATTGGTCGTGCAGTGTTCATCGAGCCATCGGGATGGATCTCAAAGCCACCGAGCGTCCACTCAATCGCTCCAGGACTGGTATTAGCTTCGCCACCTAAGCTCTGGACAGAAGCCTGCTGAGTCTGTGGTATCTGCTGCGGAACTGGAGACACAACACTGGCATTGGGCGGCATCGAGTGACTGCTCCAGGACATCGAGGCCATTTGTTGTGGCGGCTGCAGCTGCATCATGTCGTATCCTACGCCGCTGCTAGTAGCCATGTACTTGCGAGCGCGTTGCGGATGTGTCTCCATGGTAAACCCACCTCCGTTCATTTCGTGTGGAAAATTTTGAGCTCCACTCATACCCATATAAGGCGCGCGAGGCGTACTTGCAACGCTTCGAGGTGAAGCACGCATGCTATAAACTCCAGAAGCTGCAGCCACCGCTGCCGCCGCTTGCGCATATAGTTTTCTTTTGTTACGTTTCGATCGAATAGCAATCGCCGACGTACGTGTTGGTGCAATATCTTGAAACATGGAGCTGCCATCCTGTTGTTCTGGTCCAATTTCCAGCACAAACGACTGGCCCTGGTGATTCTTTGAGACGTCATCAATTCGGAATGAAATTGTCACGTGACCATGAATCATATTGGGTCTCATGTCAGGAAATAGCCTTAAAATGCTCTGATTCAGTACTGTATTGCCAGACTCGTACAATAACCGAACGTCTAGTGGCACGACACGGTCTTCCAAATAAGCACCAGGTGCAGGGATCAGTGTCAAGGCTACGGTCATGCATTTCTCACGTCCTCCTTCATCCTTGAACCAGACGTCTAGAGGTTGCGTGACGACCTTTAGTTTCTCCTTGACAATGTTCACAGAAGTTGATAAAATCGACTCAATAGTTGCGTCAGTACTACCAACTTCTAGACAAAAATTGCGACCATCACAGGTAGCTGTGAGTGTATGTAAACTCATGGATAGTAATGCAAGTCCTGTATTCGGATCAATATAGACGTCAGACGCTAATTGAAGAACAGCATCTTGTGGATCCACGAGGTCATATGTGTCATTAAAGCGCAAGGACACTTGAAGTGCCTTATGGACACTAGAAAAACACACGCAGGACAAGTAAAACCATTTGATTTAAACACTTTAATTAGTAAAAACAAGAGAAAAAGAATACTAACGGTTGCTTATATATAAAAAAATATGAAAAAAAAGAAGAGAGCGAGAGAGAGAGGGGAGCTAACGTACCCCATAAGTTTAGTCTTTTGATCATCCACTAACTCGACAGTAGCATGAAAAGTCATATTTTGATACACATACGAAGGTACTTGCTCGATAAACACGAGACTCTGTAGAATAAGTACAGTATTTTGTCATAACAACCATTTTAATTTCTCCATTAGAAACAAGAAATCGAGAGACAGAGATGAATGTATTTACCTGCGTCATAATTTAATGCTTAAAATCTGACACTTTTTTTCCTGTAAAAGAAAAGAATCGATCGAGTCTTATAGCAAAAATCAATCAATTAGTAATATTGCGTGTAAGTGAAGGAAGTGAGTGAGAGAGAGAGAAAGAGAGAGGGAACTGAGAGAGAGGGGAACAAAAAGGCTCGTCTCCTTCTTCTGCCGCACTCTTTCTCGATTTGGAGTGTACCGGGGTGCACAGTTATGACTAACACTTGATTTTGGTATTGCACCGATACTGTTAGGCAAGAAGAAGAAGAAAACATTCAGTGTCAACAGCTGGTAGGTCGATGATTCACATGGCCAGGACTAAACTTTTTCAAAACACACGACATGGCTTATTTATGCTGGAGTAAGTGCTAGTTATAAAGAACATGAGGCTGACGAGAAGACTGTACCTGTCCCATAATAGCTCATATGGACATAGCCTAAAATGTAGGTCGCATATGTAATAAGAAATTTAGACCTTTATAGTAATTTTGTAGATGCTACTGATGCGATTTAGTATTATGAAATAAGAACAAACCAAGCCAACGGTCATTGACGTTGTTTCTCCTGACTGCAATAACTTTTAATATGGATATTGACAGTAGCAATCTTGAATCACAGTAACTGTCGTTTGTCGAATATTGTTGACAGAGCTTGAACACGATGTAACAAGTAGCGTGAAACGGCTATGGGGGACCAAGAGGTATTGGGGCGTCTGGCACTACAGCGGTGTCGCGAAAAGCAGCTGGATTGGGGGCATATTCTTGGAAGCGATCCGAGTCAAAGCATAGTGACGTGATACAGGGTGCAGGGTGCAACGCGAAGGAATCATCAAACCACTTTACTTCAACATTGTTTTTCCTTAGTGTCTTCCTTTCCGCAATGTAGTTTAGGGGCCACCACTATTGTCATTACTTGGTGCCATGAGCTGAGTATGCAAATTTCAGTCTTGTGCGTCACGTGAGTACATTGCGCGTAGTAAGTTAGTAAATTGCAATCTTTGCAGGATGTAACTCGTTGTGTCAACGAGCAGATGGCGATACTAATTTCATTTGCGTAGCAGTCAGCTGTTCAACGACGCGGTGTTTGCTCGGGGTGATGCAAATTCTGTGATTCAACGCAGTCTTCTGAGGTCGGAGAATACTTTCGGCTTAGCTGCTTCATATTTCGTGATCTCCTCGATGTTTTCTTACAGTTTGAGTAGCCTACTTCTTCCCTCATTTGATTTGATATAGATCCCAGAACATCCTACTGTATCTCAACGGACTGCAGCAAAGATATCGTTGACGCCATGCTTTTCAAGCTGACTAGATACTGAAACCCAGTCGTACAGGAATGGTGCAAAACGCATTATTTGCCGTGTATATTAATGCTTAACGTTATGAGACCGACGTTATGATCAGTCGAAAGTCTTATGGCTCATGTCGCGTTTAACTAAGGTACTAGCAAATGCAAGCTTCACGTCGATACACTCGGTCGTATTGAAATTGCTTTGCTTAGCCTTGAAGAATTTGAAAAGTGTGAAGCCCATGGGTCGGAATCTAGTTTGTGCGTTCAGGCTAACTTTGCTCAGTAGTAGCCACCATATTGGTGAGCAGGAGCACTAGTTTGTGGTAACTAGGATGTCGTCAACGTTGCCTTGGTACGCGGGGGTCGTACCGCGTATCAGGGACAAGCAAAAATGCTTCTTCATCTCAAACTGTGCTATTGCTGTTACAGTGTGGCAATGTCTGCAAATCGTGCGAGTGATTAATCAGTAGATACAAGGTTTTCACTATCACATTCATGCGCACAAAACCACAGTTGTAGATCTCGCCTAGAGGCTTGATGTAATCGAAGCTCCCTTGGTGATCGCAATAATCATTACTCCCAATCTGTAAACACGTCGTCCGCCAGCAGCACGAGCACTTCATCATGATACCTTGATAGACCCTTTACCACCTCACACATCCATTCCAGCTGCATTGCCTTGCCTTTTGTAACTTTCAGCAAAGCCTTCAGGACGGTTGCAAGGCGTTGTTCTCTTGCCATGGAAGCCGGCAAAATTGAAGCCTTAGTCAGAAACAAGGACATCGGGTCGTCGTATTTCACTTGACGCGCCACGCACTTGAGAGGTTTACACATGTATGCGTTTCCACAAGAGTTCCAGTTGTTAAGACCACACAGAATGAGCTTGAAGCGTCTTATAACTTCGCTGCTATACGAATAGCAAACCGATAAGCTTAAGCAGTTCTCAATTTGCTTTCATTGCAGGATGTATGCTATCAAATATGTTCTTGCTATAGTGACGCTACTCTTCTTTCTTATAAATGCTATAGTACTTTTGACAGCACTGTATCATGCATGACGCGTAGGTGCCAAGCCCGATGGTCATGCACACAACGGTCATTTGGTGAGAACGAAGGCTGAGATGCCAGGACAACTTTGTATTTGTATCCTTCCTTTCATCCTCACCAGACTTGGAGTGCTCGAAGCTCTCAGGGAAGGCTTTAGGCTAGGGATAAAGACCAACAGGTAAGTTCACTACAAAACGTTCTTACGACTGGTAACAAGAGCTATGAGCTACTCATTGTATGTCCTACCAAGACCTGTCTTGCTTACACAAAATTCAGCTGTAGCGTCACATCAACAGCGTTGCCGGTTTCGGTCATTAGCATCAACCTATAAGAACATAAGCTCGATTGTCCTTGACGTTAGGTCATTAAGCGTGTAGCATAAGCATAGTGTCTAGCTTCAATCCAGCGTATCATTAACGTGCTTATCTGCACACACTGGTTGTGGTTCCACTTTAAGACATGAACATTACAAGCTTTGGGAGCTGCGAGACTTTCGTCCAGCTTTGCATTTGATAGCTGCAAGAGGTGTCATATACGTGGCAGGAGAGAGAGGGAAGATATTGTACATGACTGGAAACGCCATGAAGGTCTTAGATAAAACTCGATGGTCGTCGTAACTTTTCTTGTCGTGTAGCCTTTGGCTGTGCTGCTTTTTCTTAGCTACCAGATGGAATAAAATGTTTATTGCATCGTCCTCTTCTGCATCTAGAAGCCTCCTCTAAAGCTTGTATTACTTTCTATATGAGCTTTCTCATTATCATTCTCTAAGAACACGCAAACAAAATGAACCATGTTTTATACTTGAAGAAACAACATGTATTTATTTCGTAGGTTTTCTTGGTATCCTGAGGCAGCCAGACAGATGTTAATAGTGATGCGTTAAACTGGCATGTCTATTGACTATGTTCTCCTCATTTCCAAGATGTCATCAATATTCCTTATCATAGTTATGGTGTCGGAGTCAACTCTATCTAAATATGCACGAAGCTGATCGATATCGCTGTCTTTATACTTTCTACGCTGATTTGAACGCTTTATCTGTGACTAGCCTCTTTATCGTTAAAACAATATTATCTTCTGCTTTATATGTAATCTCTCATGCGCATCCACGAGCAACTCTCCAGAGCGGATGTCTGACCCAACGGGACGAATATTCTCGCCTATCTTTACAGACCTTAAGATATTCACCGTCACTTCGTTTTCGATCTCCCTACCATCAACACTCCTCGTATTTTCAATCTTTACAACAGCATCAGCCCCGTCCGGAACAGGAGATCCCGTCGTAATGCACGCCACTTGTCCAGTCTTTAATGTTCTAGTTGGTATTCTTTCCGCTGTAATGCGTTCGACCACAGGAAACTGCAGCATACAATAAATTACATGCAGTCATCAAGTGTATATTTTGTAGTAGTAAACAATAACATAGCATGAGACCTCATTAATTTTACACAACCACGTACAATTCCCACTCCATCTAATGCAACAACTGCATATCCATCATAATTCTTGCTCGAAATGATGGCAATGATTCCTACATTATCCAAGCACAATTAATCGCAACAATCGCAATTATTCAATTAATTGCAATAATTACAATTAATCACAATACATAAATAAAATATCAATTAATTGGCTAGTCATATATTTTCTATTATTAGTTAAAATATATTTCATAGAACAATATTATGGACTATAATCAATAACACTTACACAGCTGTGTACAGGCTCAGCCAGCACAAAGCCAATAGCTTCGTGGGCCTTCAGGCATACGGTATCTAGCGGGTATGACAGTTGCAATACCATTTTAATAGCGCTATCGATCGATATCATGTTATATGCGCTCTTACGTCCCAGGTCAGATATATCATTATCATCGACCCATATTCAGAAAATAATTGTATTTTATAGATTCTTATGGTGATATTTACGTCGACGGAATCAGAAATATCGAAAAGTATGATTTCTAATATGACAAAACGAAATTCGAATATATTTTCAAGTTTCATCTTACCATTATTCCATAAATAGCAGCTTTTCCGTTCGTATTATACAGCTATGCACATGTCACATACCCTAAGCATAAACCTATTTTTATAAAATCGAAAATACTATTCAAAATGTCGATACTTATCGGTATGTCTGCTCCGAATCGAAGGAAGTCACAGTATGTCTTTTCTTTTTACCTTTGATTTTATAACGTACAGTTTGGTTTGGTTGACTGTGGTCATAAGCAAGACCGTTGGACAGTGCTAAAACCTCAGACCCCAGTCAAGTAACTAACTTCCTCGTCGGTATCGCTGTCTTGGTGTTCTTCCAGATTAATTACCTCGATAAACTTAAGACATTTGAATACTTTTAATGTGCTGTTGCTGTGATGACGATTGTTGCTGCTGTCTTTGTGGATCGCTGACTGCTTTATGCTGCTGCTGCAAAGGTGACGATCGACGTCATCATGATCGTCGTCGCCATGCGCCGTCGCAGGACCGCGTTGTCTACGTGAACCCCGTTGTCGTTCAACCAGGAACTCAGCCACGTGGATACCCGAATGGTGGTTACTACGATAGAGTGTAGATACAAGCATTAACGACAATTCGGGGGTATTGACGACGATACAGGATAACGTCGGGAACGTTGTTAATGAGCCCAATCAAGACCTGGCTCTAGAATCTCATTGTCATTCTGAAAATGATTCATGTATGAAGAAAATGGAAGACACTTAGAGTTGGAACTATACATACACTGCACAACTTTAGTTACTGCGTAATGAAAAAGGTTGTCAATCTGATCGGACGATCCACATTTGGACTGTTGTGCTGTGAAACCTTTGGGCCGAGAATCTCACGGGCCTCAGTCCTCGTCATTGTCCATTGATGTTCTCTTTTTGTAATTGCTTTGCCACTGATACAGTACAAGCCTGGACTAGCTTGTCGTGTTCTTCAAATATCTCCTAGTCTCAATCACAGCGACTAAAGCATTTTGGACAAAAGCTGCACCGCAATACGGAGAATTGATCGAATACTAATTCCGCTTATCCCTTTGAGTTAGTTGGCCAGGAGATATTTCGTTGGTGGGGAGGAAAACGCGCGACCATGTAAGTTGTTAATTCGACCTTGTTTCAAGTTTTCAGCCAGCTTATGCCAAGATGTGTGATTGATTGCATAGCGTCTATGCTTTGCATTGTACTGGTTCCACAATTCCGTCAGTATGTCGGTCGACGCAAATGGTTCACTCTGGAGTTATGCAGCAGTCGTGGAAGTCGATACACTCCCGTACTCCCTTCCGTTGCATTTGTACTATAGTTGTTAGTTTCGTCATCTCGAAACACTCGGTAGGCAAAACTTGGTACTGTCCGAGACAAATCAAAGCCTCCAAGTCTTTCCAGTCGAAATGTAGCCTCCTGTGTCAATGGCTCAAGCATCTTTAGCACGAGATCGTTACGTGATCTGCTCTTGTGTTTGTTCGTTGTAGGTATTGGAAGTATCTTTCCACCCTCATCGGACGACAAAGAATTGGCAGAATCTTCTTGAGTTGAGTCTGGACGCCATTCCCTTGACTGCTGCTGTACTAAGGTCCTTGTATGCATATCCTTGTCATCTAATCTACCATGCGCGTGACACGTTCCTATCGATCGAACACTATCCAAGTCGAGCGTCATACAATCAGTTTCAACTTCATGAACGTGTTTGATTTCCACTTTCTTTTCTAGACTTTGTCGCCTCATTCTTGCACGCATTTGCGCCTCAAAGACGTTATCTATGACCTCGTTTTCTCGCTCTAGGTGTTGTTGCCATTGAGACCTCCTATGAATCATTTGTTTCGGTACAAGGAAGGCAAACGCCTTCCTTTGTTCAAGATAATCAAGCGCCAGTTTTGTTTGAATTGTTGTAAGAAAAACAAAAGGAACTGAGAGCGTATTGATTGATACAGGAAAGAAACGTGTAGATTTTCTATTGCTTTTTTACACGTCGAGCTAATTCTTTATCAATATTAATCAAGGATACTACATACAACAATCAATTCATTCATCTACTAGTGATGCAATCGAAGCACATGATATTGTTCGATTGTATTACGTTGCTGACATATTAGACGAGAAAAGAAATCTAAACTATCACTTCAACTAGAGGTGGAGGCATGCTAGGTTTTGTACCGGTATTTTCACGTCATGTGGCGCACATACCCTGTCTGTCTGGATATTATTTATTATCTTCCCATCATTGAGACAAAAGAAAACAGTTGATTTTTTTCTTTCTTTTTCAAAAAATCAAAGAGTCGTCTGTCTCTATCTAGAAGCTGAACAGGACAACAAACGTGGGACAGACAGCACGAAAAGAACAATTCATTAGAGCCTCATTTCTCAATTTACCACCACATTGGAAAAAAAAGCTCTTGAACTGCAGAATATTGTGCAACAAGCTCTCTAACTGAAATCCTACCCACTTTTCAACCATGTGCATCCCTATTTGTATCCCGTGTGATGACGGTGGCCTGTGTTGCTTCCTATGTGGTTCATTGACTACGTGTTGCTGCTGTGGTGGAGGTGGCAATGACCGTCGCTATAACAATCGTCGTCCTCGTTCGTCGCAACGTGTTGTCTACGTGGAACCAGTCATGGTACAACAAGGTGGGTCGCGTTCACGTCATGGTTGCTTTAAGCGTCGCCGCTAAGCTGTAGAGCTAGACCAAGAAGCTCAAGCCAAATGTTGTTGCTATAATGACACGATTGTTGCACGTTGAAGAACAAGCGACAATATTAAAGCAGTCACGAAGAGATCACCTTTGTGTTCTCCAAGGTTTAGATACGACTTTGTATGTTCAATAACAACTTTACAGATCAACAATCCATTCATTGCAAGTAGATTACCATATTTACATTTCGTTTATGTATACTACTTACTTGCTTTTGTCCAATGCGTTCTCCAGGATGAGAAATTACACCTGACGCACCGTATTGAACAAGTGATATGTATAGATTCCAGGATGTATGGTGTGGCCTTCGGGAGCTCACACACCTTACGTGGTTCGGTACGTCCTTTGCTTCGACCATTGCCACTCGTACGGACCTTGCATTCAATGAGCTGTTTGTCGCAGTTCGTGTCAAATACAATTGCTCGTCCTGATTGATGCAGCCGATATTCCACTTCCAAGAAATACGTCAATTGACCTCATTGGCCTGTGTCATTGTTTTATTATTAGATATCACAATCATATACTGCAATAATGAATTACCTGCGTAAGTAATAGCAGTGCGATTTTACCATTGCAACAGTATCCACAAAACGCAGCTAAAACGTACCCTGCATTGCGATTAAAACACTCCTTTGTATGTCTAAAACGCGACAAAAGAAAAATAAAACGCTCCTTCGTGATCGTCTGTTACACAATCTGATTCGTCGTAAGGTTTTAGACTCAGACAATCATTCTCAATGACCAACGACGTAAATGAGTGGCAAGTACTAAAGTTTCAGCCATGGAATAGCGCACCCGACGTGTCTTTCTGGCAGAAACTTACATATCTTAAGCTTAATACGTTTCAGCTCAATGACGAGGCGCAGGTGATGGAAATTTCGATTGAATTTCATGTAATATAAACAAGAACAAGAAGCATTCATTCATGCGATGTTTATATAGGGAATAAAAGGTTATTTTACTCCTGGAAGATCAATGAATGTACCAGCACGTTTTACAGTTGATGAGAGCGCATTTAAGAGTGAAAATCTCGAGACTCAGAAGGATGCAGATACGAGGTATCAATGAGGTTTTTTTTCTCTCTCTAATCTGATTCTCGTATGATCCTTCTCTTCGTCTTCTTATCAGATTTTTGCATATTTCTTCATAGAGACACGGATCGTGCTCGATATGAATGGCAAGCTCCTGGATTACTTTACAATACGAATACTCTAGAGGTGATTGATTGTGTGATGGATTGAAGAAAGAGAGAAAGAGAGTGTGTGTATGAATATCTGATTCATATGTCATATCTTGTGTTAGGCTTTTAAAAAGCTGGATAAAACCGCGTTGCTACGAGCTGCTGGAGATCAGATCTTGGATATAATTTTAGATACTCATGGGACGAACGACATGTTGCTGGATTGTTTGAACACCTTTGTGCTCGTCACTTTTGCCGATTTGAAGAAACATTCGTTCTTGTACTGGTTTGGATTCCCGGCATTGATCCCGCCTACATCGTTTCAGTATCGAACTCCACCGGCATCAGTGGATTTGGTGTTGTCTGAAGAAGAACGGATTCATACACTACGTGGTCTGCTCAGGATGCGTCATGTGAGCAGTGAGTCAGAAACGGTAAACGGCAACTTTGCGCCGTTTTTCGTTGTAGAGCGTCTGGATGTAAGTGCGAATAGCGAAGAGATCGTGAGAGTTTTGAATGTTCACGAGTGGAGAGCAGCTGATCATAGATTGGATGATGTGGTTGAGACAATCTTTGGATATGTTGATCCTTGCCCACTAAAGACTAATCCTGGATGGCCTCTGCGCAACTTTCTAGCGCTACTAACTGCGTTACCAACGGAGAAAGTGGATTGTTCGAGGTCGATGAAAATCATCTCTTTTCGTGAGCATGTCCATCAGTTTACGGAAGTACCTGATGATTTTGTATGGAAGAACTCTGTGGTGTTTGAGGTACGAAGCAATCAGACGTTCATGGCAAACGGTCGGTCACGGCAAGATGTACGCGTTATAGGTTGGGAAGCCAATGCTCATGGCAAAATGGGTCCGCGAATAATGGAGCTTGGCAGTATCTTAGATCCCATTCAGCTAGCAAACACGTCGGTGGACTTGAATCTGAAGCTAATGCGATGGCGCCAGCTGCCGTCTCTCGACTTGGACCTGCTCGTGCAAACCAAGTGTTTGCTACTGGGAGCTGGGACATTAGGTTGTTACACGGCTCGAAGTTTGCTTGCATGGGGTTTTTCGCAACATCACCTTTGTCGATAACTCCACGGTGAGCCATTCTAATCCTGTGCGTCAACCTCTTTTCGAGTTCCAAGACGTCGGAAAGCCTAAAGGCGAGTGCGCAGCTAGGGCGTTAAAGCGTATTTTTCCACTTGTGAATGCTCAGGCCGTGCATCTTACGATTCCAATGGCAGGCCATGCATTGAGCAGTCCTCAATTGATAGAGGACGCCAAAACGGGTCTGGAGACGCTCGAGCAGCTGATTGCATCGCACGATGTCGTCTTCTTGGGAACAGATTCGCGTGAGAGTCGATGGCTACCAACCGTGATCGCCACGTCGCAAAAAAAACTTTTGCTGAATACAGCACTTGGTTTCGACAGCTACCTAGTGATGCGTCATGGTGTCCGTCCTGACCAGCAGGAGAATGGTGATGCAACAACACCATCGCTAGGTTGCTATTTCTGCAATGATGTCGTGAGTCCTCGTGACTCACTGAAGGATCGCACGCTGGATCAAATGTGCACAGTGACTCGACCAGGTCTTGCTCCGATTGCTGCCGCAACGGCAGTGGAACTTGTTGTAGCTGTTTTACATTCGCCTCAACAACAGTCTGTCGGTGCTGACAAGCCAAGCAATGATAGTGTCTCAATGGGCTATATTCCACATCAGCTTCGTGGATTCTTGAATGCGTTTCAAAGCATGGTGATTACCGGTGAAGCGTTTGACAAGTGCATTGCATGCAGTTCAAAAGTCCTGGATGCTTATGGTACGGATAGCCTCGGTTTGCTTGAGAAGGCGTGTAATTCCGATACGTTTTTGGAAGAACTGACGGGGTTAAACCAATTGACAAAAGAAGTGGATTCACTCATGATTGATCTCGACGATAGTGATGAAGACAGTGATATGATCTAAGAATCAATTGGCAATGCAATTAACTTGCATCTCTCATAGCAGCCAACCAATTGATCAATTTTTGATTGATTCAACCAGATATTGTTGTTGTTATTGTGGTCACATGTATCGATTAATCTATACACACGTTTTGTCAATGAATTGTCTTTTTTTCCATGCGCCCAATTCATTCAATTCACCTCTCAAGTCAATTTTGTAATTTTACAAATGTTAGCTGATTGGACAGCAACGTTCCTCTCTCGCTCTCAAATTGGCTGGTAACGGACGGACTTCATAGAAAACCCACAAGTAGACCCGACATTAGACAGCCGACCGTAGAGATCTCCACCCCTCCCCCCCACTCTTCCCTCTCCTCTTCCTTCTTCCACTCTTCTATAGTTTCTTCTTCTTCTTCTTCTTCTTTATTAATCATGTCAACTCCTCCTAATTCTGCTGATGATCAAGTGGAACTGTTTAAAGTAAAGAAATTGATTAAATCTCTTCAAGCAGCACGAGGGTGAGTAATCAATCCATAACCTTGTATCTATCTATCTAGTGACTAACTGACTGACTATATGACTGTGATTACGTTATCCTATCTATCTCTATCTATTGAGTAGTAATGGTACGAGTATGATTTCTCTTATTATTCCACCCAAGCAGCAAATTCCATTGGTTGCAAAAATGTTGTCGGATGAAATGGGTACAGCTTCAAATATTAAGTCACGTGTGAATCGTTTATCCGTCTTGGGAGCGATTACGTCAACACAACAACGTTTAAAATTATACAACAAGTGTCCACCGAATGGATTAATTATCTATTGTGGTACGATTATTACGGATGAAGGCAAAGAAAAGCGTGTGAATATTGATTTTGAACCGTTTCGACCGATTAATACGTCACTCTATATGTGTGATAATAAATTTCATACGGAAGCATTGGGTGAATTATTACAGGATAATGATCGTTTTGGTTTTATTGTCATGGACGGAAATGGAGCGCTCTATGGTGCCGTATCGGGCAGTAATCGTGAAGTTTTACACAAGTTTTCGGTAGATTTACCAAAGAAACATGGTCGTGGTGGTCAGTCTGCATTGCGTTTTGCACGACTGCGTTTGGAAAAGCGTCATAATTATGTTCGCAAGGTGGCGGAAACTGCCACGCAAATGTTTATCACGAACGATCAGCCCAATGTTTCAAATCTTGTGCTAGCAGGTTCGGCTGATTTTAAGAATGAACTGAACGGTAGTGACCTGTTTGATAAGCGACTAGCAGCCATTGTAGTCAAAGTTGTGGATGTGTCGTATGGTGGTGAGAATGGATTCAACCAGGCCATTGAGCTAGCTGCTGAGACACTCACTAACGTCAAGTTTGTTCAGGAGAAGAAACTCATTGTTAGCTACATGGAGGAGATTGCGCAGGATTCGGGCAAATACTGCTTTGGTGTGAGTGACACGATGAAGGCGCTTGACCTGGGTGCCGTAGAGACGCTGATCCTGTGGGAAGATCTGCCGCACCACCGCTATGTACTCCGTAACGAGGCCACTGGAACCGAGTCGGTGAAGATTCTGTCGCCGTCCGAGGAGACGGTGGACTCGAACTTTTTAGACTCGGAAACAGGCGCGAAGCTAGAAACTGTGGAGCGTACGCCTTTGGTGGAATGGTTTGCTAACAACTACAAGCAGTTTGGCACGACGTTGGAGTTTGTCACGGCTCGTTCGCAAGAAGGCTCACAGTTTTGTCAGGGTTTTGGTGGCATTGGCGGTATTCTCCGATGGAAGGTGGACTTTATGGAGATGGACTACGAGTTTGACGACGATGATGATTTTGACGAGGACGCGTTCATGTAGAAGTAATTATTGCGTGATGCTTTGCGCTTAGTTAGGAAAAGGCGTCACGCACCGTGGCGCTGCGGGAGGAACGAGCGCAACGAAGAAAATTGCATTTCAGACAGCCGATCGAAGAAGGGGATTGTGCATGACTTTTCGAGTAGGAGGAGGAAGAAGCAAGTGGTGTGCGACTGAATCGGACGAGTGTAGACATCCTTTCAAGGCATGGAATCAAATAATAAACATTCCATATTAAGGCTAGCCCATAGATGTTTCGTATATCCATTTTCCTCTAGTGTTACTAAGCTAATGGTGTCGTTTCAACCCGTCTAAATCAAACCTGTGAGGTTATGGCAAGCACATAAAACCTGTATATTCTAATATTTTCCGACGTGGTTTTAATACTTATTCGAACAGGTCAACAGCTTTGTCAGGTTTGTATAGTATTAGAAAAGAAAGGGTTTACTTGTTCTAGTTAATAATTAGTCAGTCAATCTCCTTACAATGTGGCATCATGGTCTTGTTACAAGTGTCGCCTCCTTCCGTCTGCTCTCACGCCGTCAATTTTCTCCATCTTGTTCATTTGTGCCTCTTGTTCGGTTCCTGTCCATTTCGTCTCCACTTCAGTATGGGAAAAGACGTGCAATTGAGCTGAAATATCACGATGGGACATGTACATTGGCAGTGCCACTGCCTCTAAACGGTTTTGATGAAGAACGAGTTTTTAGTATCCCACCTGGTAATGAATGATCGAGAGATAAAAGCTGGATATTTTTTATATTTTGACTTGACAAATGTCTTGTTTGCTTGATTATCTGTTTGTTTTTGGATTTTATCCGATATTAGAAACGACGGTCGCTGATATTATCGCTCAGATTGAAGCCGAGGATAAGTCCGTACAAAGTGTAGCCATTCGATCCACTAGTGGAAAAGCATTTGATCTTGAAGATACGTTGGAAAAAGTGCTCGTGGATGACTTTGAATTGCTGTTGAATGATCAAGTGCTGTCTGTTCGAGCCCCTGTGTTTACTGGAAGTGCATACCAGAGTCTCGCAGATGATGGAGACTTGGATGTTCGATCGGTGGCACAGAAAGCAGCTATCATTATGCTGCGTAGAGATCTAGAGGGAATGGGCAAATGGAAAATTAGCTATCCAGAGTTTATACACATGTGCCAAGAGAGAGGTATTCCGAAAAAACAAGCACCCGAGGTACTGCAGGCGTTCCATCAGTCAGGAGTCGTGTTTTACTTTGGCAAGTCGAACGATGAAGACTTGATCCACTCGGTGTTCCTACAGCCACGTAGTATTCTGGACTCGTACTTGGAATCCATTGGACTATCACCACTCTCGTCGCAGCTCTTTCAGCAGCAGCGAGAAGCACTGCTTGAGAAAATTCAGGTGCTGGAACCAGAACATGTGGCACTTGTCAATCTTCGTCGGGAGTTGGAGCTCACTGCGACGCGACAAGCCAATATCATTGCGTACGGGTTGTCAACGTCGCTTGTTGGAACTTTTGGACTTTACTTCTGGTTGTCATTCATTCACTTTTCGTGGGATATTATGGAACCAGTGACGTATTTCACAGGTTTTGGTGTCTCCATTATCGGCTATGCGTGGTGGAGTATTACAAACCAGGAATACGAGTACGAGAACATATATCACTACGTATATACCCGACGTCTTCGGAAGCAAATGGTCAAGTCAAACTTCAACCAGCAGCGGTACGACGCTATAACGGGGGAGTTACGTCAAGCAAAGGAGCAATTGGCACAGGTAGATCTCGTGCTTAGCAAGTCAACACCGCTACAGGCCAATTACTTACATTTGCTGGACATCAAACGTGAAGTAAAGCCGCCAGTTCTCAGCTCCATGCTTGCGTGTCAAGGACGAGGATAAGCTAGTGATCATGTGAGACTTCGAAGAGTCGATTTGCTCGTCGGAGTAAGTTTGTTTTTAACGCATCGGTCGTAGCACAAAGGGAATGCAAAGTGACCGGTATGACATTGCGATACATTGAACTGGATCTTGTACTGCAGTTAGATATAGTACAAGATCGGGTTGCGATGTATGGCGATGTCATTCATTGTTGACAAATAAATGAGTTTGAAGATGGTGTTTCTTATGTAAGCAAGAGAATGTCGGGCAAATGGCGCTACACTATAGTTATGTGAAGGATGCAGGGTTCTAGCACCTCTGTTTCGTTATATATTACAGATTACAATATCAACATATTTCTGTGTACTATGTTTTGCGCCGACGTGAGAAAAAAACATAAGAATCAATTATGATGAAATCTCGCAGGTTATAGACAATCGCGACGACGTAAGAGCGTATACAACATGATGTATACCTCGATACAGATGTAGAGATGGTATTGCAGCAATCACATCCGTTATACGCCTTGCACGTGAATGCTCACAACGTTTGTAGTGACGATGAGTCATAGAGCAGGTCTTACGTCAGTCAATCAATCGACAATCTCATCACGCCTCTTTTCGAGAAATTCAGCATTCTTCACTTTGAGAGATTGTTGATGAAGCCTGGCAAAAGCCAACAACGGTTGCAACAATGGATATGCAGTGCCAAGTGATAAAGCTGGTATTTGCTCTACCCGGTAACCTACTAGCAAAGTGCTACAATGCCACAAGGTCGCGCAGGATTGACACATTCGATTAAGGTGAATACTGAGCATTCTGAACTTCCATCGCGGTAACTTGGTGTGGAATACCGATCTGAAGACTATTGATGCACGAACCAGTTCGTGAACTGTTATAGAACCAGTCAAGTGCCCTATTCCATGTCTTTACTTGTGATTGTATGGGTTTTCTTCCACAGGTTGTCTTCTTTGTAGCTAAGTATTCATAAATGTAATGATAAGCTGGGTGTTATCGTGCTGAGTTGTAGAACTAGCGTCGTTCGTTTATTTAGCAGCTTACCTTCAAATTTGCTCGAAAGCTTCGACATTGATTCGAGACACTCTTTGCTCAACTCGTGCAAATTTGTTTCCTACTCTTTCACTACATCCTACTTTTGATGACGTGAAGAAAGGGATCTACCTGAAGAAGCGCTAGGTATTTGAGGACGAATGAACTGAGATCACTCGGTTTGAAGCAAATGAAAATGATGAAGTGTTACACTTGCATCGTGCAGTTAGAACCGTTACCTTTGACCCTTCATTTGCTCTGCTGCAGTGTCATGCCTTATCTGGATGAGTCAAATGGACTTTGCGACGGTGACGGCAGTCTCGTAAAATGCTGTCATCAGCTCATTGCAATGCAAAAGACTTATGTCGGCAGACGCTAGATCAACACTTTATCGGTCCGCGTTGCTGGGAAAGGAATACGGAGTATGTACTTTGTCGGCTTCATTACGGTTCGACAAGTCGGACTTTAACCTTCTTGACGTTTATCTCGTAGCACAATCCAAGTGCGGTTAATGCACATTGACGATGCTGTGCGCGATTGTGACGCAGTGCCGACGACACTTGTTTCAATGGCAATACACAACTTTGCCCTATAGGACACGAGGCCACTTCGTGCATGTTGGTGATCGTTATCGTGTTCGTGTCAAGGCTTTACGTTTTTTGGTCGCATCGGAAAGATGGATGGATCGATACGTGCGGTCGTGACATTTCAGCGATAGTGCCCGAAGTATGGAGGTCTTGTCGAAGATGTAAAAATGACGGTTCATATTATTGTTTAAATATAAGTATTACGTCTAGCTTACGATTCATTCCTAGCACTGATCTAGTTGCTTGCCATATCAACCATGGCCGTGACGTTCATGACCATGGCGTAGACGAAAAAGACAATGAAAATGGCCCAGATCGCAACGCATGCGAGTTTGCTGTAGCCACCGTAAACGCGCAATTGCTGTGCATCCAACTTCTGGCGGGGCAGCAGAAAGACTGAGAAGAAAGCCATTGCGTGTACACCGTATGAGATGAGAAGCAGCAATACCAATCGATTTTTCCCATCACTAGGACTCACAGGGGCCACGTCAGGCATCCACCCACTACTGAGAGTGCGCATGGCAATGGCGATGGTACTCCGAAATGTCAATAGCATACCCTGAGTAGCACCTTCCGAGCCGTTCTCGGCAATCTCGGTTGCTGGGATGAGCGAGAAAATAGTAATGATCCCGTCCGTGAATCCTGGAATACAGCCAAGGGTATCGTAAAAAGCCTGACCACGGATCGACGGTACGTAGAGTATCATGATGGCACGAAAGGTCTCCGTTACAACCATGATAGCGATACCGAGGCACACACACTGCCGCCAAGACGAGTTGGACCAAAACATTTTCCACATGACCATGGAAGTAAGAGTGGTCACGTACTTGAGCGCATTGGTTATGAGTGTAGTGTTCGGATTAAGTCGGGCCATGCTGACAAAGACAGCGTTCGCCGAACCAAAGTAAAAGCGAGTTGTTGCTAAGAGGATACACAAGAACAGTACGAGCTGCCACATGGCTCGCTGTTGACACATTCGAAAGAAGGCAGCAATGCGAGCACTCGTTGTAGAAGATGTCATTGAGATCGTTGCCATACTGCCTTCTTCTGCTGTAAGTTCGTATGTCAGACCAGCCTCGTTTTGAACCGTGCGCTCGTTGCAGTTGCGCAACAGAAACGGAACAGGCACGAGACTCAGTATGGCCAGCGAGGCGTAAGCCCAGAAAGGGTCAATGCGCAAGGTAGAGCTGCGGTTGTCATCGTCGAAACGAACAAGAACGGCGGTCAACCAGAGTCCAATCCACTCAGTTCCAGTACGGAATAGCAAGTAGTTGATTTGTAAAGTACCGCGTGCGGTAAGCGGTTCGCGTTGGGACAGCTCAATGACGCGGGCGTCCGTGGCAATCTTGCTGAGCATGGTTCCAAACGTTGCACCTATGATGAGAGCCATGTAATAGATAATGTAGTGGCTGCGTTGATCTTCTGTGGGATTTTTTGACGTCTGCGGTAGCGGAGAGTATCGTCAACCCCATGCACATGCAAAAGCTCAGTAGGGTGCCAGTGATCATGTAAGACTTGCGACGGTATCCGCCGATGGGCAGAACGTCAGACAGCAGACCGAGGAAGAAACTGAGCGTCGTAGGAGTGCTCAGAAGGCACTCAATCACGATAGAGCTCTCGGATCGCTGCAGAAGCAGCGAGTGCATAAGAGTCGGTCGCATGCAATATCTGAGCACGGCGTATATGGTACTGCTTTGCACCGTAGCGAACAGCAAGCCATAATATGAACTCGAAAAGAGGCTGACACCACCGCCATCGCGCAGTGCACCAAACTGCTGGTAATTAAAAAACTTGTTGCCTGCTACAAAACGATTGTTGCCCGCCATGGCTGAGAGCTCGCTGCTATCGAAGATGAGGCGACCATCTGCTGATCTGTACGGCATAGCGGGGTGAAAGTGCTCCATGTCGCTGTAACTGGACTCCTGCAACGCGTTCGTATAAGCGGAAGCGGTGCTGTAGAAATCGCTGCTCTCTTCACGTACACCCATGGTACAAAATCCGTGCACCTACTGAACGAGCAAGCACGACGTTGCGGTTTGCCTGGTGAATTTCACAGTGAGACTATGATATGATAATGCTCCCAGCTTGCGGCATGTCAGCTGGTAGGTTTGTTATTTTTCGAGACTTCCTAATCTTACCCGTATAAATACAGACAAGATTCGGAAGTCTCGGCAGTTTTGCTGGTCCATTGATTCATCCGTTTGAATGCATTGAACCACCAAGTTGAACATACTACGTGTGCTAGAAATAATGTTTACAACAATGTCATCGAGCAAACATTACATCGATAACATAAACAGAGAATGCCTCATGGTAGTTGAAAGGATTGTTTGGATTCATAGAGTGTTATGCACACTACAACTATATGGTGTTCTGATGGGTTGAAACAAGTCAAGAGGGCATTTGTTTTTCAAGTTTGGCCAGATACAATTAAGTTGTTTGTTACTTGAAGCACGAAAGTGACACCATTCCAGGACCAAAAGCGACCGACTTTTCTGAGAGCATCATTTACACTTGGTGTTTTCACGTTCATGAAGCAGTGAGAGCTTGGAAGAAATGAAACGTTTGAAGCTCCAACGGATATAAATAAGAAGCCTCACCCAATGCTGTAGGTTGGCAAATGTATCTGTTTTGTGGTGCCCCCGCTGTCTGTATTGGTAAACACGGTGGTGGTGGACGGCAATTACTTTGTATAGACACGTTAAACACGTGCATGGGACTTTGACACCGTATGAAAGCGGCCAGACCATTCCGGGCTGTATATGGAGTTGATAATCACTCGACCATTTTTGGTAATCACTCACTCAAAAAGCTATTCAGACAATCTCATCATGAGCACGTCTTGCTGGCCATTGAATGGTCTCGAAAATATTGATCAATATGGACGGAGAAGCTGTAGAGAGTGACAAACGCCCCAAACTTTTGTTAATTCTTACATATGGTAGGTAGCATTGTTGAGGATCACATTACAACAGTAGAGAAACGTTGCTCCATGAAGATGGTCATTATCGCGCTACTATAGCAAGTTCTTCTCGTTGCAAATTGGGTGCTTAAACGGCACTAGAAAGTGTCATTCTTTGCGCAATTTAACTGTAAATTGAAGATGACTTGCAGAGATGGATTGTGGCGTAGAATTAATATAGTGATGGTGTGCAAGTCAATTTTTCTTTGCGGTGGTGAACACGTGGAGTGGAAAACAGTTTGCATTTGACGGACCTAGAGGGGATGGACCTGCTGCCAGTTTCGATGGAGTCTGCCCTTCAAGAAAAATTTGGCGCTCATCGGTCATTTCCGGCCGAGGTGGCCAACCCGCTGGGGCTATATGCTATTGGACACACGACAACAACAGGAGCGGTCCTCTACATAAATACATTTCTAGGGAAAATTTACACGATAAAGAAGCGATCTGATTAGCACGTCAAACTTGAGACTGGTCTTATGTTTTTTGCCACACCGAGACACACCGCTTTCGGCGACAACAACATGTATCAGGCGCCTCTCTTACGAAATGTCACCGTCAAAGTTGAAAGCGACAACAGTTCGAAGATGTCTTATATTCAAGTCAGAAAGTACTATCTATCACTTGAAAACCATTATCCGATGCGAAAATCGTGTTGCATTGCGGCATTTCACTTTCACAAATGGAAGGATGTGCCGTACCTCTTTATTTGCCTCCGTCTAAAAGCTCAAGACAGTACGAGAAATCAATGATAATGCGAAATGACGTTGCATCCCGTCCCAGGTGACGAACAAGAGATAAATCTGCTAATTCTCTAAATCCATATGTCAAAAAGACATGTTGAAGTTGTATTTTATATTTTAAAAATAAACTGACACAAAATGTAGCCATGACGAAAAAAACCCACATTTCCGTTTTCCACCCACCTTCGAATCAGATCGTTTTGTTTCGATTCTTTCCTTTTGTCAAATTTCTGAAAATCGTCACCCTTGGTTTATTGAAATTTCCCCCCTATCTTGCATTTTCCAACAGTTTCTTTTCCTCTTCCGCACTGCGCGCTGCCCATGCGCGTCAATGTCTGCCATATCTTCAGCTAGAAACAACCATAACAGCCACATCTACAACGACAGTGACAGTATCCAAGTAAACAATGGTCTTGTATTTCTTCCCCATGCATCATGTGCACTCGAACTCTTATGTGTTGCTTTATATCTGACACTTGCACTCGTCTCAACATGCCGTGCGTTATCGTTACTCTCGCCTTTATCGCGTCAAGTGTCGATCTTTCAACGTAGTACATTCCAACGTCTAATGGTTTTCTTTACAATCACTCGTGCTGCCTCTTTCTTAAGTCAAGGTATTGTACGGAATCTACTGAATCGTACTGCCTTGTGTCTCTTTTTCTCGCTTGTGCTATTTCAGACGTTACTATGGCTTGATATTACCAACCCCAAGATCTCACGACGTTCAAAACGGATTTGGATTACGTTTATCCTGGCTAATGGTGTGTTTTACATTATTGTCCTGGGGTTCTCTGTCCTGCATGAAGCTGAAGTCATTGAAGCTCGGCACACAGCAAAGACAAGACTTGATCGTGCGACACTGTATACAAGTGTCCTTCCAGTGCTTTTTATAGCTGCTGGAAGCTTTATAAGTTCCTTGGGACTTGTCTATTCCACATGGCAAATGCGTTTTCGTGTTGAACGCGTGCTCAAGCCATCAGGTGACGGATTACGACGTCGATTAGAAGAACGCGTTGAGAAGAAACTTATACGTGCACTTCGGTTTACGGTGCTTGTCATGGGCGTTTGTTCGGTGCTGCTATTATTCCGGACACTTATTTACATTCAACGACCATTTTCCCATCAAGGCTGTGGAAATATTCACAATGCAGACGTGTGTATCGTGTTAGGCTACGCCATTCCGGAGATTGTGCCATGTGCACTCTTTTTGGTGCTTATGTGGGAAGTAGAACCGACACTTGAAATTCCATCGAGACGAAGCTTGAGCTTTAACAACGGGAGAGTGACGTCCGAGACGACGCCATTGCTGGAACAGGAAGTGATGCTGCAACCACTACTGGTAGCAGCCAAGAATTTGGTCAATAAAGCTGGTAGTGTAACGATGGTTCAAGGTGTAGTGCCGCCAAACTCGCCACTAGGTGGGTATTTGACGGTCGGGAGACGACCGAGTCCGCTGTCACTGGGTCTTGGGAATGGCGTACTGGATCGTGCTAGACGGCAGTTGGAGTTTGTGGTACGACATCATTTGGGTGGCGGAAACAAAGAACAACAACTAATCGACAAGAACGATGTGACAAGCAGCGCGTTTGGCTCACCCGCCGAGTATGAGGGACATACAAAACAGCTAGCTATCTACGACGATAACTTTAGACGACCGATTTCACCTACACCCTGCGCGTGGTTATCGTTTCAGTGCTTTAATTTGACGTTGCCATCAAAGTCGTCGGTGAAGGCCTCATCGTTTGTTGTGTTGCATTTGATGAATGCTGAGACAGGCGCGGTGCTAGCTGAGATTGGTCGAACCGAAATCTCGCATTCGGAAGACCCGTGTTTTCACATGATGCTGGCCGTAGAAATGCGCCAGCAAGATCTGCTTCGCGCCTCAGTGTACTCGGTCCGAAATCCGAACTCGCTAGAAGACTTGAACAGCCAGTGGCTTGTTGGCGACCCGCTTGTGCCAGTATCGTCATTTATGACGGATGCAGTACCCGCTATTGGACGTGCATCTATTTTCCCGTTGTACTCTCCCCTGTCTCGGACGCGATCTTCAGGTGAGATTGTTGTTCGCTGCGAAGCAGAGGTGAAAGGGTTACAAACAGGGATGTCTGACGATGGGCTTGAGCGCATTACTCGGTCATTTATGTATATCGGGGTTGAAGACACCGATACTGAGGATGCTTTGCCTCACAATGACTCGGCATATTCCGAGGTAGCTCAGCAGATGATCAATCTTGCGTCTACGTCTCGACGCGGTCAAGGCAAAATGCTGGTGGAAGAAGAGTTGATTGAAAGTGTGTATACGTGGGAGGTACCATATCAACTTCTTCAGTTGATACTTTCGGATTTGTTGGTGAAACTTGATTCATTGAAGCGCGAGGTTGCGCTTGTGGACGGCGATGACAGCTGTACGTCGACTCCATTAAGCCAGCTTTCGACTCCTGGTGTTGATGGCTATTCGTTGCCGACAGTGATCCCTTCTTCTCCAAGATTGCTTAGTGTTGTGGAAGAAAACGAAACCGATCACACATCTGAGATGCGGGAGTCTCTTCAATCGGACGCATCTGGAATGAGTGTCTCGTTCACCCTTGAGAATCGAGTTAGACCAGCAAACAGTATTGGAATGCTCTCCGAGATGATTATTCAGATCCAAGATGATGTAATTGAACGGAAAAAGCGGAAGTGGCGTCTGGAGCTTATGAAAACCGTGGAGCAATACATTTCGGAGGTGGAGGACTCAATTTTACGCTATGGGGCCACTCAACACGCTGGCCTCACGTTTAAGCCAAGCACGATGAAAGCAGACGCAGACCTACGCTTTTTGGCTTTAAATCTTCATCAACAATTGATAACGGTGGGCAATGCAGCGCCAACATCAGAAAAGGACGTACAATTTGGTGACCCAACTAGCGCAGCACGCTATGCTCGGCTTGTAAACTCATTTATTGGGACGCTAGTGTCGTCATCGCCTTTACACTTATCGGGAAAGTCGAGCATGGGTGGGCCACAGGCCGACCTTGATTCGGTGCAATTCATAGATGATGATGAAAATGACATAGAAGATATCTTACCCTCGTCGCCTGAAGAGCCACCACTTGAACCTGTTGAAGCGCTACGTCGGCGTGTTATCTCATTTGATTCTGCAGAGACTATTGTCAACAAGGGAGCTTCAGGTCAATGTGTAGCAGTTCCTTCTGAGCAGCGGAAGCTGGCTGAAACTATCGTAGCGATGGGAATTACTGACGAAGAAATCCAGAGCATCTACGGGCTCGACAAAAATGTTGGCGTATCTGATGCAATGGATATTGTAGCTGCTATAATGTCAGGCTGCTCAGATGATGAAATGAAGCATGCAGTACCCAGCAATGGATGTTACTCGTCATCGCAGGGCTCAATGTGTGGCACAGAGACGCAAAGAGTGTCCATGACGATTGATACGAGTGCTAGTGAACATGCTCCGTTTTATAAGCACCGGATGTACGGCACCACGACGGTAGGGGCCTTTGCAGCGCATGTATACGGGTTTAAGAGCGGTGGTGTGCGTCAGATGCGTGAAGAGCTAGAAAGATTACATACGCGTTTGGTGAAAGCAGCGGAGGCAAGTTCAGATCTCACGATGGATGCGTTGGAGCGCAAGTACAACGAGCTGAAATGGGATGTTGATCGTCGACTTGAGGTGGCGTTCTGTCAGGCCATGAGTGCGCTAGTCACGTGTTTCCAGCAAACACTTTACGTGCACACGCACGACCATCGTAATTTTGGGCCTCATCCGTTGAAGGCCTTCGGCGTCGATTATCTCGAAATGCTAACGAGGGTTGGTTTTTTGTTCTCTGTAGAGAGCTTGCTGTCAACATACGGGAATGAATTGGGAATGCTAGGTGATACAGAGGCAGCTGTGAAGGAGCTCAGACGGGTTCGCATTAAGTTACGACCTGTGAAGTCTCCTCGTGCTGCGGCTTTCCGCGTCTCAATTACTTCCGGGCCATCAGGCATCGTAGTCGAGCTTCCAATCATTACACGTCGTGCGAGTAAGTTTCCCGATCGCAGTATGCACCGAGTTCCAGGACAGGATGCAGTATTTGGGGCCATTTATCTGCCGCTGTCAACTCCAGAGCAGAGGACTCGCGCAAAGTTTTTATTTCAAAAGCCCATTCAAGTGGTGCCTGTAATCTTTTCGCAAGGAATGAATGAAATGCAGACAGTTGCAAACACTGTGGGAAAAGACTCACTGCAAAAAGAGATAAATGCTGAGAACGTTGTTGAGTTGGAGGCATATGTCAATAGGTTTGCAAATTGGGTCTCTAAGAAACAGCTTCGCGATCAAACCTTGACTCCAATCTACGACGCCGAAGAACTCGATCGGACCCAGACGTCGTTGACAGCTCTCAAGTCCAACATTCAACTTTCAGGGCGGTCCAAGCGTATGGCAATTTTGAGTTTATCGTCATCCATTGCTCGTTCCGTTGGGGGTGGTCGTGTGACGATGTGCAAATCAGCCAAAGATCGGACATCCATGTCGATTACGCTCGAGGAAGCAAACCTGCTGGCACGCTCCCATGGTCTTCTTGCTAACGATGTTGAAGCATTCACGAACTTGCTTCGGACCTATGGTGTTCGTCGTGAGAATGCGCGAAAGAACATCGGTAAAGCGCAGTATTGCTTCAGTGCGCTACAGAACTATATGCTGCCACAGGACTACCAGTGTCCGCCTGGCACAGGAGGTGGTAGTCGGGCGTATTCGTAGAACGGCGCGATGGTGGCAGTGCATTGGAATCAAATTTTGGCGACTAATTACGATACAATACTCCGCTTAACTACACCAAACAACAAATGAATAAAATACGTGGAGGAAGCTGGCGTCGAGTGCTCAGTGACCCAACGCCAGAATGTCCTGCATTGACATTGTGCGAGGGCGGGTGTGGAGCTGCCGTGGCTGCTGGGTGCTGCTCTCGTGAATGGGCCACGTTGAGAACGTGTTATTTTTTAAGCTTGTAAGGATGGACGCGTCGACGAGTAAGTCCAAGAACGGCATAGGCGGCGGCGCTGGTCGGGAGGGACCGTCGGCTTGTACGGGAATCCTTGGCAGTGTCCAGGAGTTGTTTTTCACACATGGATCTGTGACGGAAAAGGTGACACCTGCCTCCTTGCTTGGACTGACACGCTCAACGTCGAGATTGAAACCGCGCGCTGCCGTTGGCGGTGTCAGCAATGGTGCTGCTAGCGGAAACGGAGGGGGGAAGGATATTGTAGCCTGCGGTACTATCGGTGCGTTGGCTGTGAGAATGCTCTCATCTGACTCGGACATGCGTTCATCGTCGTCAGAAACATTTGTGGTGGTGTTGGAGAGTGTTGGGGATGGACATCCAAAGCTCGTACGTACAACATTTATCTCGGATGGCACTGCTGTTTGCAGCGGCGGGAGTACCAGCTGAGACATCTTCATTTGCAGTAAACGTTTGGCGCTCGCACCACGAAGGCTAGGAGCGTTGGAGTGAAGTATAGCCGTGGGCAACGACTCACCTTCCTTCTCGAGCTTGTGTCGTAGGTTTTCTAGAGCTTCATGACGGATCCGATCGACATTTTTCTCACTTCGGAAGCCAAGGTACGGCCAGCGTCGGATACCTAACGAACGACACACGCGAATGAGCGTGCGGCTACTGATGCCGAGATCTTCAGCAGCTTTTTTGGCAGTGAACGTAAACAGGTCGGCAAGTATGTCAAAGGACAAGGTCTTAATGCCATGTCTTGTGTGGACGCGGACGAAATACGAGGCGTAGGACGCTGCCAGAGAGCTCTTATGATAAGACATGTCTGGCAAGGATAGGGACGACGCTGTTGTTACCGCAATTAGTAGACGAAGGGTAGTGGGCTAATAAGCGATATAGCGACAATGGGTGGTGGCGAACTCGTCGGTGTTGTCGAGTGAATGGATGCACGCGTTGATTGGAAGTGAGCTGGTTGTGATGTGCCACAATAAATTCAATTGTGACAGGTAGTGTGGACCTTTGTTAATTTTATGAAGGAGATAAGAACGATGGCGACATATGAGGAAAGACTGGTAGAAGAAGAACTACGCTGAAGGGATTAACGTGGCCGGTATGGTGGTGGGTAACCGCAAGAGCTCTGCGCCAGTCTTCCACCCTTTTGCGTCTTTCTAACGTGCTGCCGAGTTGTCCTACGAACTGTGTCAAAAAAAGGACACACGTGGTGGTTTTGTCACCGCCTCAGATCTTCGACGGAACTCGCGCGCAACAGGCACAGTCGCCAAGTTGTCACACTGAAAAAGCTGTCTCTTGAGCGATCGTTGAAGTAGAGCAGTCTAGTTTGCGTTCGGAAGTGACCTGCAAGCAGTATTCTCTGCTCGATACAATCGCGACGTGTTGAGACGTGTGATACTCCGATGTCGGTTCAGCTACTATATTCTGATTGCAACGATTTTGGTACGAAAGGACACTAGAAACGAGACTTGAATGCGGCTAACATTGCGGCCTGTCGGCATGTTTAGGTCCCTCCGCAACCAAGCGTTTGATCATTGCACGTGGAGAAATTCCGTCTGCACAGGAATTCTGATGAATATTATTCAGTAGATCAATGGGGAGGAAAGTAGGGCTCATACATGCCAGAAGAAGGTATCAACAGAGCAAGCGACGATGGAAAAGGCAGAACGTCAATCTGGTAGGAACCCTCAGCAAAGGATCATTTTTGTAGAGTTCACTTCGACGGTAGTTACGCAGCTCAAGCATAGAGATGACAAGTCATCTATTATTCGTCGATGAGTGAAGGAGATCTCTAGAGATGGCGGAGTGATATCCGACTAGTAGCACTGACCATACGACTGGTAAGATTCATTACCTGAGCCTAAAATCTGAAAGCACATACAAGGTGATTTACACTCCGCCACAGTTGGAACTTATGAGACCAATGTGATGGAACGAAGAGGTTTGTGTTACATTAGTAAATATCCTGCAGGTTCTAACAACAGAATAACAAGTAATTATATACAGGCGACAGTGACTGCACACTCAAGCAAAAATGCTAGCAATTGAATCCTGTCGGTCATGTCTTAACGTGCACCGCAATGGCAAATGCAACCACTTGTTGTCGCTCATTGTGTTTAGCATTCACGTGACAGACAGCCTACATGATCGCCTCTTGTCCAAACGCCAAACCTGCCACACGCCAGTAGCTGGAGCAAACGTCCTTTTTGCAGCTCAAGGACGACGTGACAGACATGATTCAATGGTCAGATGCACTTGACTACTCAACATTAGCGTGTAACGCACTTTATGGGCTTAACGAACGCTGTCATTGTCGTCACTACACTTTCTTCTTTGAGCGCTTCTCCTGTTGCTAGGTGCTGTGTAACCCGGTAACCCGGGTATTCCATGCTCAAGATTTTTTGGTTGGTTCAAAAGCTCGTGCAGCTTCGTTTGAACCTTCGTGATTGGTTTGCTGTGTTCATGAATACCCCCCCAGCAGATATACTTGCACTGGTTAGACCTCCTGGTCATCCAAAGATCACCGTTTCTTTCTCAATCGAACGACGTCGACTTTCATGCTTCGATCGTTTCAGGGTCTTGTAATGACTGTACTGAAAAAACGTCCCAAGGATAAAGAAAACGACTTAGGGTGGTTTAAGGACGGGCAGTAGGTAGATAAGACGTTCATAGCGATATGGCCAACCATCGTCTGTCTGTCTGTTTGTTTGTCAGCAAAAAGGAAGCCTGTCCTTCCTTAGACTGTCTTGCTTGACGAAATCGAACGAATCCGTGGGAGAATTTGTTTATCTCAATAGTTTTAATCGAACGAAACGTTGAGCTAGAAGAACAATGTCCTGTCGATAGAGTAAACCACCACATGACAGGAAAAACTTGTGACGTTGCGTTATACTGGACCTGTCCGACTCGAACTCTTCCACTTGACTTTAGACGGTCTGTTTACTGTACCCACTAGGTCCGTGCCTGCAAATATATGTTGTTATTTGCCCTCTACAGAGTCCCTAAACCAACGCCGTCAAAGCCACTTCCTGAGATTTCCATGGAATCTGCCTCGTCCTATGCTCGACGTCTACCAGTAGCTGATGACGTGGTCCTTTGCGTCTTGATCTTGACTGTCTTGGAGAGACCGACGACGTTCTGTAAAATACTTTTTAGTTAGCCCTCCATAATTTTATATATACATTACATGATGTCTTAGGATATCTACCACATACAGAGGTTACACCCAATTTCTTGCACAGTGCCTCAGCGTCTGCCCATTTGAGGACACCGTACTCAAGACACCACTTCTGTGCCATGCGACTATCTGGTCGCTGTTGCAGGAGACTCTCGTAGAAGACACGATCTGCGAATCCCTGTTAGCATGAAAGAAACCCGTGAGAATTAATAAAATGATTCAAATTTCCTACAAGTACAGCCTAAGGGTAACGAAAAAGACTTGCTATAGCAAACACCATATGCATAAAGAGAGTATTACACGTACAGGTGATGGCGTTGGGTGCTTCTGGCCGGGTTTACGGTTAGCCTCTTGCTCCTTCGACCATTCTTCCTCTTCACTCATTATTGTGACAGTTGCAGTTACACAAGAAGGAAATAAATAGTGTCATTGTCATGAGATAAATCTGCGACGTGTGCAGCCAGCAAAAACCACAGCTTCAACTTGCTCAATTATTACAATACACACGCAACATTTCTGAAAAGCGACCTGCTTGTTAATCAGTTGTAATGTAATATCTCACCTACGGAATCTGTAGTACCTCCATTCGCTTAATGAGAACACTATAAGATGGATACACCAATGACAAGAGCACTAAAATGTTTGTTAAGTGAATCATGGCAATACTATTGCTCTTTTCAATGGCAGAACTCTCTTTTGTTAAATGCATAGCTCTACAAAAATACGTTTCTACTTTTAGCGACTGCAACAACTTGTTATCAGCAATGAGGGCAATGAATCGTGTGTAAAGTGTCTTCTATCTTAGTAAGACAAGAAGAAGGACTGGCATCTGATCTTACTTGCATCAGAGGAACGAAACTTGCATGAGAGGTATGCGCAACTATTGGAATAGGTTACAGCACTAAGGATTGTAACTAAAGGAACGGCAATGAAAATGCACTAACAGAAGATGACACAATAGGTCGTATGGACCTGTGGTATCCTAACGTGTACCGCTTTCAACGAAGTTTTGAAACGGCGTAGTACGGCTCAGATAGACGAGTAGCGTGATGGACCCTTCCAGTCGCTGATACGGATGAAAGAGCCATCAACCACGGTGCAAAAATGTACGGATGCTATAGCAGTTTCTCGACTTCTTGCATCGCTGATGGAAACTAGAGCGTGATCAGCTCACTACTTTGTTTGAGACTGGCACTCTTCTCTATCAGCCATGTTTTTACCGCTGGTATCCAGACAAGATACACGTTGCCACTCTACAGTGTTAGAAGAGAGTCTATTCTTCATGAGACCGGATTTGCGTGCCATGTTGTCGTGTCGCGTACGCGTGGATGCTGCTTGGAGGGATCCATTGCCTAACACCTTGAGCATCTCCTCAACTGATACACTCGCGCTGCTGAACACGAATCGGTAACAAACTATACAGATGTACACTGGTTGCTACTGAACTTACCATCTGAGGCGACAAGCTAGATCCTTCATAATCCGTGCTGTTTTCGCAATGCGTCAATGCCTTGCTAAGACAGTCGTTTTACAAGAGTATGTACTCCTTTCGTTCACTAGTTGTTATGTCACTATAACTGATTCATGCAACTACGCACATGGATGTAGGAATGAAGTTGGTGTTGCTTGTGGTTTGCCATGCAAAGCAGCATCACAGAATAAAACTGCATGGATAGTCAGTCAGCTTCAGTAAGACAGCGTTAGTGCGTGTCAGAGTTTACGCTCTTCGATATCGCCATAGGGTAAATGTATGCTGTGGTATCGCTATGTCTTTGCTGTGCAATCAGGTCAGCGCTCGACCAGCCCAAAGCCTTCAAGATTTGTTCAAATCAGCGGTATACCCATGTAAAATTTACTAGCTTAGACTTCTTCTCCTCGTCCGTCACCACAGCAAAAGAATGGCCCTCTACGCGGACTTCGGACAGGCTTGGTTTATAATTGCTGTGTTGTAGGCAACAGTGCTTGGTTAGAACACTGTAAGTGAAATGGTCCTGTTTGTACAATCAAGCTGCTGAAAGTACTGATCACTGCGAGATGACCAAGCAGCCCTGCAATTTGTCACGTCTAACTTATCAGATACACCGTAGCTTTAAGACTGCTCAGATATGCACGTGTACATTGTCTTTTGCCAAAGTTATGGATGCAGTCTCATCTAATAAAAGCATTTACACTCGATGATCAGCACCATTCAAAGCATAACACTGCAATATGTCAACATGGGAGCACAACCAAACTTATGCCTAGCAAACTCTACATGTAGAGGTAGATAGTTATCCCTATATAGTATACATATTGAACAATGCCTCATGCTGAAGACGATAATGATAATACTGTACTATATCGGCGAGACTTTACCATTTCGAGAACTCCTTGTTGCTCACTTTTTCATTTCTTTCAAAAGGTATTGCGCTTGCTTAGCACCTCTCAGAGTACGTATCACTTTAGGCTCAATCGCTGAGGCATGAGTTGCACGCTAACTGGATTGCGGTTTCTAATATGCTCACGAAGTAGTCAAGCACAGATATGTTTTACAAGGCATTAAAGTGGTAACAAGATATATTGTAATTCGTTTACAGCACTGACAGCACTAAGAATCGTGTCGTGTTAATGCTTAAGCACAGTGCATTCGCTCGAGAAACCGTTCGCCATATGATTCACATTGACAGAAAGACCGGTGGGTAATGTCAGCTCGCACGGTGGCGGCTGGAGACGGATAATCACTTCAATCATGGCATTGCAATTTGCGGAATTGCACATCTTCTTCTTTTGCTCTGTAGTTGGCAAGGCCGTGGCGGTCACCATTGAGTAACCCGATTCTTGCTTGCAGGCGTTTAAGGACGGTTCCTTCAGGAGACTAGTAAGCGTATTGATCGCAGCGAACGTTTCTGTTGTGCTGCACGGTCCTGCAACGGTTGAGCCGATGAGGGCGGCGATGGTAACAACGAGCAGAGCAGTTAAGTTCATGTCGGACAGGGACGTATCGAGCTGGATGGTCGGCAAAGGAAATTGCAGAGTGAGCAATCGAATGGATGAAATGTGATTGAACTGAAGAAGTGCTAAGCGGCGAAGGTTAACCACTTGATACGTATTGTGGCTTTCGCGATCAGATTTACACAGGCATTTTTTTGACGCATGGGATACCGCTGATTTGAACAAATCTTGAAGGCTTTGGGCTGGTCGAGCGCTGACGTTGCACAGCAAAGACATAGCGATACCACAGCATACATTTACCCTATGGCGATATCGAAGAGCGTAAACTCTGACACGCACTAACGCTGTCTTACTGAAGCTGACTGACTATCCATGCAGTTTTATTCTGTGATGCTGCTTTGCATGGCAAACCACAAGCAACACCAACTTCATTCCTACATCCATGTGCGTAGTTGCATGAATCAGTTATAGTGACATAACAACTAGTGAACGAAAGGAGTACATACTCTTGTAAAACGACTGTCTTAGCAAGGCATTGACACATTGCGAAAACAGCACGGATTATGAAGGATCTAGCTTGTCGCCTCAGATGGTAAGTTCAGTAGTAACCAGTGTGTACATCTGTATAGTTTGTTACCGATTCGTGTTCAGCAGCGCGAGTGTATCAGTTGAGGAGATGCTCAAGGTGTTAGGCAATGGATCCCTCCAAGCAGCATCCACGCGTACGCGACACGACAACATGGCACGCAAATCCGGTCTCATGAAAAATAGACTCTCTTCTAACACTGTAGAGTGGCAACGTGTATCTTGTCTGGATACCAGCGGTAAAAACATGGCTGATAGAGAAGAGTGCCAGTCTCAAACAAAGTAGTGAGCTGATCACGCTCTAGTTTCCATCAGCGATGCAAGAAGTCGAGAAACTGCTATAGCATCCGTACATTTTTGCACCGTGGTTAATGGCTCTTTCATCCGTATCAGCGACTGGAAGGGTCTATCACGTTACTCGTCTTTGTATCACAGTAAACGAACAAGTCTGGTCGTCATTCATTCATACCAGTAGACTGGTTCTATATCGTAATGATGATAACTACGCATCGTATAGAAGTTTGTAGCGATCGGTTAGGCTCAAAAAAAGTGAGTAGTCTTTCCATTACATTTACATGTAAATTTAAATATAAATGTGTTGAAACGATGGCAGCAAGATAAAAAAACATGAAAACCGTTTGACGACCTCATCCATCAAAAAGCATGAATTACGACCATCGACTATGTATCGCCATGTGCTGCGACTTTTTCTTTCCTCGATTAGGTGGCGTTGAAATGCACATGTGGTCACTCTCTCAGTGTTTATTACATCGTGGTCATAAGGTCATTATCCTTACACATGCTGTCTCAGGGTCAAGTAGTAAAGACAATCGGTCTCCAATTCGACCTCCACCTTTACGTTCTGGAATTCGGTATATGACAAATGGTCTCAAAGTGTATTACTTACCATTGAGAACCATGGTCGATAATGTCACGTATCCTACTTTTGTCACTCAGTTGGCATTGTTTCGAACTATTTGTATCCGTGAGAAGGTTCAGATTATTCATGGTCATCAAGCAACGTCTGCATTCATGCATGAATGTCTGTTTCAAGCCAAAGCTTTAGATCTTGGAATTAAAACCGTTTATACCGATCATTCTCTCTTTGGTTTTGCTGATGCTGCAAGTGTTCACTTGAATAAAGTCATGAAATTTTCCATGTCGACGGTAGATGCTGCCATTGGTGTCTCCCATACATGTCGAGAGAATCTAGTGCTTCGAGCTTCACTTCGTCCGGATAAAGTTGCAACAATTCCTAATGCTGTTGATGCTACCAAGTTTACACCATTGATTGCATCAATACGCAAACGAGATGATGATCCAATTACAGTCGTCATCATCTCACGACTTGTGTATCGGAAAGGGATTGACCTTGTAGCGAGAGCAATTCCATTAGTATGTGCGCAAGACTCGAGGGTGCAGTTCTTGATTGGAGGAGATGGAGCAAAGCGATTACTACTAGAAGAAATGAGAGAAAAGTACAGACTACATGATCGAGTGACGCTATATGGAGCGGTGCCACATGCCCAAGTGCGGGATGTGCTGTGTCAAGGGCATATTTTTCTTAACAGCTCACTGACTGAAAGCTTCTGCATTGCTATCCTGGAAGCTGCAGCTTGTGGTCTCTTTGTTGTGAGCACACGGGTTGGTGGCGTGCCTGAAGTGTTGCCACCTGATATGGTGCAATTTGCTGCGGACATCACGCCGGAGGCGCTGGCACAGGCAGTTTTGGCTGCAGTGCCACGGTTGGCGGGTGTTGATAGACAGGAATTTCATGACCGCGTGGCGAAGATGTATAATTGGAACGCTGTCGCTGTGCAAACCGAAAAAATATACGAAAAGGTGTGTGCACTTCCAGACAGCTCCTTGCTACATCGACTACAGCTTTACCACGGCATTGGTCCAGTGGCAGGAATGTTGGCCTCTGTTGTGGCTGCTGTGCTGTATCTGTTTGTGGTATTTCTCGAGTGGTGGCAGCCTGCTGCTGACATTGAACGCGCCATTGACTGGACTCCAGCATCTCGACAAGATGATGACAACGCCGAATGAAACGAATCAAAGTCCATACGCGGTTGATGATTCTATATGACCACGAATGCATCCTAACAATCGATATGACATTTGTTTGGAAGGAGGAATGTCAACAACGTTTTGTTTGAAAGATTGTTCAGTAGATGGTCTAAGAGGTGAATCGAACGAGTCTAGCAGGAAAGTCATCATAACGCTGCATGTTAAAACAGCAAGACCATCTCTTGGTTATCGAGAGATGCCCATTACTAGGAACCTCTCAAGAACCTCAAAACTTAGCAAGCACCACACAGACAATCGTCGAGTTCAGGAGGTTTATGATTTGTTGCTACAGATGTTGTCATGAATGCTGACTGCTTAACTAAGCTGGTTCCGTCCATGATGGAGACAGTTGTTAAAATCAAAGCTTGCTGATTGATAGTCAGAAGTCCTAGCAACACAATGCAGATAGAGGCAGTCTAGAGATCAGCAGTGTCATCTCACTAGTTGGAGAAATGCCTTTGTGACAATGCTTTGACATTATACTGCACTTCGTAGTGGTATCATACAGTCTGACATGCAGGAGTCTAAAAAGAGACCTGCGTATACGATTTGAATTGATGTACTGGTATGTGCACAAGAAAGAAGACAGGACTACGCTTAGGATGTCTGCATTCTTGTCACTGTCGATGTCTTAAGGCCTCAAAAAAGGTCTTTATTGGAAGACATGTATCTTATCAAAGAAGACTCTTTGTGATACATATCCATGTAGCTCGTAGATGCAACAAATGTCGGCAGTATGGTACGTAAAATATAGAGAAGATCAATCTGATGGCGACACTACCGACACCCTGGTTCATTCAGCTGCGACTCTTGTGGATTCTGATCTTGTATCTCTATGAGGATCACTGTCCTTTTTGCCTAGTCAACATGTTGAAGCGATCAACTAACTACCTAAATCGACACAAACGGATAGTTAATGGTATCGAACGTAGATTAGAATATAAACATGTTCAACAGCATGTCCAATGGCTCCGTCATCCCACATTCTTGACAGAGTAGACGACGGTCATCTCTTAAACTAATAGAAATGTATCCCACATTCGCAATCCTGAACCAAACACAAACAAGCCAAACGATTGTGTGCTTCAAATCAAACAAGCTAACAAAGTGAGTGAATGACCTGCTTCCGTATTGATCTTGTCGTTCTGTATCAGGGAAGTGAGGCCGGTTGGACTCAAGCAAGCCTCAACCATCGATCGATCTATCTGTGTGTCCGTCCGTGCCTTGACGATATTTCAAGAGCTTTGTAGATGACACCATGCATGAATAGTACCCTCCCCCCCCTTCCTCCTATCATCTGCTTTCACCGTCTTGTACAGCTTCTCTGTTCTGAAACCAACATGATACCAGCCAGGTAACTGGATGTCATAATATTGACGAAACTCGTTACTCACATACAGACGTTCTGGTCGACAATCTGGCTTTGACACGTTTAGAAGATACATTCCTGCTATGTTCGGAATGAACACGTTATGATTGTCACTTTTCACTACGTGGTAGTTAGTAAGACCCGAGAGGATGGATGATTCACTCATGAATGAACGACCCAACTGCCTGATTCCTCATTCCCTTCCCGTGTCCAGTGATGGCAGAAGTATCATACTGATCGAGAAGTTTTGCATACTAACACCTTCAGTTCTCTCACGTCTGCTTTTCAGAACATGTTCATTCTCCAATTTGCCTTCTCTCACTCGATTCTCATAAGATGAACACTTACTTCACTCTCGCTGCTACTGCTTTGGTCTTCTTCTCCTCTGTAAACGGTGAAGACTGCTCAAGTGACGCTCAGGCGAATGCCCACAAATCCATGATAGATCTACTAACTGGCAATGTCCTGAAAGATTGTGCCACCAAGTCAAAGTACGACATGCTGTTAGCCACGACACCACCGACTCTGGAGCAGAGCGCCGCCATGTGCGAAGCGAAAGAATGCCACAATCTCATTGCATTGATTCATAAAGCCGACCCACCAAACTGTGTATTGAAGATTCCTACGAGCGGCTATAGAGTTAATGTGAAGCTCATGGCTGACAACTTTGAGACAGGCTGTGCGAATCCAGGCACCGAAAAACGTGATGCCCTGAGATCGTCTCCTCCTTCCCAAGCACGTTCTACTTCCGTGAACTTTCTACTGCCTTGAATGCTAAGTCTCCAGTCACGGTCACGACAACGACGACTACCTCAACCCACACGATTGCCGCCCCTCCAAAGCCGTGATAAGAATCTCCTTAAGTCGCGGTGCATACCATTTTCGTTACGTTCTACAGTAACTGATTCCTTCAATAAGAGACAGACACCCTTTGTGCTGCATTGTAATGGTTCGATCTCGTTTGTTTGTTTTCTTCATGTCTTTGCATTCAAGAGCTAGCAAAATGCTACCAAGTATACTCAAACTCCGCTCATCCGATCCGTACACACGATGGATAAACAACAAAAGCTCTGTCAATTAACATTGCAAAACGCTGCTTGCGTTCGCTTTGTTAAACGAGCACCTCCGACGTTTGTCATTCTCTTCTTCTTGTAAACTTCGTGTCTTTTCGAAACTCGTATCACTCCCACGTTTGTAAATCTACAGGTCGCTTATGCATCCGCATTTTTATTGTCAACTAGCCTGCACTCAAAGGACCTATTTCACACCACGATACCCTTTGCCCCGACGAAGTCCAAACTCGGCATTGTTCCACTCACTGCCACCTCCGAATCCCAAACGAGCATCGTTGACCTGCTGCCCTGCTCCTTGATTACCGTGGTTCATGTTGGCGCGGGGAGGGGGGCCAAAACTCGGAATGCCTTCACTGGAAGGCCCGTCACTCATAAAATCATCGCGCTCCATATTCTGCAGCACAAGACGCTTCAATTCGGACTGTTCCTTCTTTCCAGCATTTTCTTGACGGTGGCTATGCTGAGCCAAAGACGATTCCTCCGGGACTACTAAAGTGCGCGCCTCCACTTTACCTTTATTGCCACGACGGAGCATGCGAAACACCACTCCATCAGTAAACCCATTTGCATCAAGAGACATTGCTCCATGAGGACCGGTGGGTGGAAATGCAGCAGGGTTTTTCACTACAGTAGGGATAGCCATCTTGTCCACGTTTACTCTCGCCGCGGGCTTGCGTGTGTCAGAGGTCCCATGCATCATCGACTTGAACGCCTTTTCAAACTCGTCGTCTTCCTCACTTCTCTGAATGCGGTCGTGGATAATAAAGTGCTCCTCTTCATCTTCGTCTTCTTCATCCTCATCCTCGTCATCGTCATCATCATCATCATCGTCGTCATCATCTTCGTCATCTTCATCATCCTCATCACCATCATCCCCTTCCGCATGATAGTCATCTTCATGTTCAACGTCATCACCATCGTCATCATCGTCCGTATCGTCCTCTTCATCTTCATAAAATTCATCGTCCTCGTCTGCTGGCTGTGACAGGGTTGATCCCTCCTCTGCTACGCTCTCGAGACCATTCGTCGCCATCAGCAATGCCGCATTCTTCTTCGACAGCCGGCGCTCAGCTTCCTCTAAGTCACCGCGAAGAATCTCCTGAACGGCCTGATCAACCGCCTCCCACGTGTCAAATCTCTTGAAATGATCTTTTAGACTGCTAGCTATCATATCAAACAGATCAAACACGACAAAATCGGTTTCCATCGGTACATCTGTCTTGGAAAACAGATATCGTTGAAAGAAGATCATGAATCGACCAAGGCGGGGTCGAGAGATACCTCTTTCGTTTGAAGTTACATTGCTACTAGACACACTTGACGATCCACTGCCGTTACAGGTCTCGATCAAGGCACTGACTAGACGAATACGAAACACTTCGCTTGGACCATCGACATCGCTTGGTACGCGGGGGTCGTACCGCATATCAGGGACAAGCAAAAAACGCTTCTTCATCTCCAATAACTGTGCTGGCGACATTTTATCGCTGCTGTACTGTGGTAATGTCAGCAGATCGTGCGAGTGATTAATCAGTAGATACAGCGTTTCCACTATCACATTCATGCTCACAAGACCACAGTTGTAGATCTCGCCTAAAAGCTTGATGTATCCCAAGCTCCGTTGGTGATCGCGGTAATCATTTACTTCCAATCCGTACCGAATATACTCCAACACATCGTCCACCAGCAGCACTAGTACGTCATCATGATATCGCGATAGACCCTTTACCACCTCACATATCCATTTCATCTGCATTACCTTACCTTTTGTAACTTTCAGCAAAGCCTTCAGGACCATTGTACAGATGCTGCTCTCTTGCCACGGAAGTCGCCGAAGGGTTTTCACAACTTTGTTCACATTTGAGCCGTTAAGATCTTGATACATCACCTTAAGCAGAAACAAATACAGCGGGTCGTACTGTTTTATACGACGCTCCACACGCTCGGGAGGTTTACACATGTAGTACGCGTTTTCCACAAGAGTTTCCAGCTGTGGATCCAAATGCTTCGCTGCCTTAAGCTTCATCATGACGTTTAAGCAGTTCACCGTGCGCGCATGCGTGTGTTTTGAGCAATACAAAAAACGGCCACAATTCTCAAGAAAAGTTGTGGCAACATGAACGTTATGCCCCTGAAAATCCTCAAAGCACTTCTGCAGGCATCGAAAGCCTGTATTCGGCGGGCAGATCCGAAATTTTACAAGTTCCGCCAGAAATCGGATGTTTTTGATCTTTGATTCAAGACGAAACTGGTTACGCCGTTTTATCAAACCATAAAATTCACCCACAAGCAGTTTCACGAGCTCGCCGCCGATATCCTCTTTAAGCACACTCTGCAGCGTCGCCACGAGGCGCGAATAGTGGGCCAATAGCTCTAGATGGGTCCGCGGCACGGCAAACAGGGTCTTCACAAGTCGGTTTCTTGTTGCCTTTGAATTGCGGTAGCAAAACTCGACCGCCACCTTGTCGCAACGATCTCGATTCACTAGATCTTCCAAAGAAGCAAAAAATGCATCCAATTGGTGGTGGTAACTAGTTGTTGCTCCACCTATACAAGTTGCACTGGTACCTGTTCTTGTATCTTCCGTTTCTTCCTTCGCCTTGCTTTCCTCCTCGTCTGCATCAGTCGCTACGTGTACCTGATCCTTCGACGCATCAGCATTTAAATTGTCCAGAGCATCATCAACATCCCCACCTTCTCTCTCGTCGTCGTCCGCGTTGGCCTCAATTTCTTCTTCGAGTTCATTCTCTGTTTCGGTCTCCTCGTCTGCGGCGGCCTCCTTCTTCTTTCTCAACTCTGCAACATCGGCCTCCGTGAGTCCTAACACAACCGCAGGCACTAAATCCAGTAAATCCGGCAGATCTTGGTAAAATGAACGTGTGGCTTCGTCATCAAACGGTCCGTCATGGCTCAGTTCGCGACCTCCACCTTCTCCGCCTTCCCAAATGAGAATCCCTCCACGATCAGACCCATCATCCTTTTCTTCCACTGGCAGCGGCGGTACTTCTCGATCCAGCGCGTCCGCCAGCGAGTTGACGCTCGTCTGCAGTTTTTCAAACAGCAGCTTGGCATTTTTCAGTTCCTGCACATGTTCATCCGTCACTTCACCACGATTTGCTTCTTCTTTTTCATTTCTCGCATGAAGTTTCAAAAACGTTGCATGCTGCGCCAGATAAAACTTGCAAATCCTTTCATATGCTTCAAGATAGCAGTTCAGACACTCGATCTGGACATTCTTGGGTACAATGGACATTTGTTTTGCCACAAACTTGCTAAATTCTTCATGTCCATCCAGTATTTTCTCCAATTCTTTATATTTCTTGGGCTGTACACCTAGAAAATCAACACCCACGGACTTGGCAAAGCTCACAAGTAACGGTACTTCCAATTGTTGTGACGATGTTGTCAAAGCTCCTGACGTCGCACTCGCACTAGTCTTTCCTCTCTTGTAATATGATTGAGACGGATGAGACGGAGCATGTCCTGGTTGTTCTCGTCTTGCAACCCGTTGAATAATTTGTGCAATCACTTGAACATCATCAAATACACCCACAAGATACAATTCACTCAATAGACGAAGAATTAATCGACGTTTGAGCATTTTCGTCCGATCGTCGGTTGAATAATATAAAGTTTCAAAGTGATGAAGTAATCTCCCCACAATTCCTGGTGCAAATTCTTCATATCGTTGATGTAACAACGACGCGACTTTAACAGCTGCTGGTAGATCAATTAATTTTAACGGGGCATCAGCTAATGCCGTTACACATTCACTGATATAACGGGTTAGGTTTAATTCCATAATATCACGATAGAGAGTGTCCGCGTTACCTTCGGCTAACATGCGCAATTTCTTTACAAAAGCAGATGAACGCTTGATATCGGACTTGAGCTTGAGTGTTGCGAGCTGAGAACGGACGTATACGACATTTTCTTTACCATTTGCATGACGTAATACTTCACGTGCATGACGTTGTTGCTCCAGTTCATGTAATTGAGAAAGTGCTTGCGTCTGAGTGTCATGATCATGAGCTGTTGTCATGGTTATTTATACTGTGGATTTGTATGGATGGACTTTTGTATTTTCAGCCAATGAAATGAGTTTTTTTCGTTTTTTTTTGCTCTTTCGGTAACAAATATGAACAAAGAGAGAGAATGATGACTAATGAGAATAATTGTCTATTTGACTCGTGTTACAAAACAAAAAGTGAATTGGTGTAGATTTGATGTACCAAACAACTTCCAGTCAGTCAGTATCGTGTGGTTTTTGACATACGCGTTTGACAAACTCATATGATGTGACCATGAGAATACCTGATGGACCCATAGCTAATAGCCGCTAGAGAGATACAAACATAACGTCAACAATTAGACACGTAGACATTCGGTGATCTGAACATTGTAGCAACGTACTGCAGAAAGACCTGTCATAAGACCCATTGGTCCTTTGGTCTTTAGAATATACTTGACAGTATCCATGGCACCGTATTGCGTATATACCTGTGCCTTTGTTCGTACAATATCCATAGGATTTGTCAAAATGCCGGTGATGATACCTGCACTTGCACCACTCATTCCTTGCGCTATTACTGCACACGAAACGACAAGAAAATACGCCACAACAATCACGTTTTGTCAATCGTTTCCGCCTAGTGACAAGAACGCCACACGACGCACCTTGTTTCCAGAATGGATCGGTAGACCGCTCCTTCATCAAGTCATAATATACAGGCACGAGAAGGCCATATGACCCCCACCAAATTGAGGACGACGGTGCGTACGTTGCGATGGACGGCACGTATCCTCTATAAAACCCTCGAATACCTTCAGTGTGTAAAATCTGTTTGGTTACAGTAAAAAAACCTTTAGTGCGCTCTCGCGTCTTGCGTGCATTCTGTCCCTGACCACTGAGCATCATGCGTTGCGACACAATGTCCAGTGGCACTACGACTGTTTGTGAAATGAGGGACGCAATAGCTCCTCCTACAAAATTAGCTCCTTTCTCACCCGTCTAATAGCAGCACATGATACATACAGCAATACATATTAGCAGACAGTAGCATATCTACTCGACCACCTACCAATTCAGCAGTCATCACTGCTGTGGTAAGTATTTTTTCTGACTTACCGTTGTATGATCCTTAAACACCTTGCGTGATTTCTCATACACGGAGATATAGAGATTACCAGTAATAACATTCACTGTACTAGCCCCAAATCCTTTATACAATCCACGCGCACCTTCTTGTTGAAAAATGGTCGCAAATGCGTTAAATGTGCCTGAATACAGTGGTTTGTGCTTGGACTGGACCTGTAGCCGCGTTTTCACGAGGTTACTTGGATATACGGCAGCACGTACAGCTAGAAATATAGTAGGACCGACAATGTAATATTTAAGTTTATCAATTTCATCCCATGAAATGTCCTTTAGTATGTCTTTCTCCTCTAAACTCATGACCACGTCCTTCATATTTGGACGAAACCTGACGACTATTGCGAAAAACAATACGTGAAGGTTGATTGGAATTACAACCAATCCAAATGATACTAATAACCAATGAAAAGAAGATAACAGAAAATTACCCATACTCAATTATCGTAGAAAGGCTATAGTAACAACTTGTGTCAAACTTGGCAGTTATTCAACCTGCAAAACCTTTTAGGTAGAGATACTCTGATAAGTTTACATAATGGTATTTATTCAATAGAAGATATTCCAACCGGTATTACGCATAAAGCATTCCTCAATGGATGACGTAAGTAATGAAGAGCTCCTCATGAAGTGGAAACCACGCTTAGGTCCATTGTCCGTAGCTGAAAAGCTAAAGCAGGCCGAGTTACTGAAGCGTCAAGGCAATTTGCGTGTCAATGAGGGTGAATATAAACGCGCATTAACATCGTATGCCAAAGTATTTGCATACGTCAATGGTTTATCCGTAGCAGGCGATGCTATGTCACAATATACTCAGGGAAATACCGGTATGATGGCTACAAAAGAAGAAGATATCCAGATTCAAGCTATAAAAATTGCGGTATGGTCGAATATGGCGTTATGCTATGTCAAGCTCGGTACACAGCCAGATAAAGCGTTGGGCTGTTGTGACAAGGTGCTGCATCTTGAACCAGAGCATAGTAAAGCACGTTTTCGTAAGGCTCAATCCATGGTGCAACTTATGGAATATGATCAAGCTTATCAACTCTTGAGTGAGTTACTAGACGAAGAACCCAAGAATGCGGCGATACGTAGTGAGATTCGGGCTTTACAGACTAAAAAGCGCGTATACGATGCTGAGATGAAAGCCAAGGAGAAGAGTGTATTTGGCAACATGTTCAAGTAAAAGGCTTAGTAGATAAAGAGAGAGAGGAGAAGTGATCTCTTGGTTTTGCTAGGAAGGGGTGTGTGTTCTTCGTTATTTCAGTGGATTGTTATGATTGGAAAAGATGCGGTAGTACACGCAACTTGATGACGTTCATGAATTGTGAGTAGCTGTGACCAAAATGGTTTTCCACGCATGGAACAACGACGTCCGAGACTTCGACGTTCATGCAATTTGCAGCAGATATAGCGCCAAAGGTGAGAGAGTGACAACCAGCAGCTATTGGAGTGTTTGATCCTGGCAGTTGCAATGCCCAAAACAGTCTTGATAACACCCCGTCACGAGATGAAAAGACGTTAATGAACTTGCCTCCTTTCGGATCAAGAGCATTTGAAATATTGTCAAGACCTTCCGTTGCAGGGATGAATGCACCTGCAAAGCTGACGGCATTAGCAATCAGTGGTAAGTTGTCTCCTTTCTTCTCCGCTCGTAGCTTTGCCATCTCTTGAAAGATGCTATAGATCACAGCACCTCCCAATGAATGGCCAAACAATGAGATCTTGCGACCTTGCAGCAGTACAAGACGCTCAGCCAACACGTGCGCAAGCAGTACGCCTACTTGATCTGCTTTGCCCTGGGCACTGTGCCATGGATTGTCTGTAAAGTGCGCAATCATGGATGAGACCGATGAGCTGTTGATATTGTCATTCACGTGGGCACAGAACTCGTTCCAGGCAGCAGAATCACCCGCCTCCCACTGCACGGCAAAGACGGCAACTTCCTGTTGCTCGTCGCCTTGTGTCCATACGCGCCAATTGTTCGTCGGATCATCGCTTTGCGTCATAAAACCATTGATACAAAGCACTACATGGCGGCAAGTGGCCACCTCGCCGCTCATCAGTTGCAGCTTTAACTGCTGCACGCGCTGCTTGCGCTTGCTCGCATTCAAAATGGCTACGGCGCCATCCAATGCACTGGCCCACAGCGTCGAAGGTGTTGTCGTCGATGCCGGTGTGGGCGTTGGCCGCAGCCAGGCATTCAACGCACCCAAAGCGCTATTCACAGCGACTGCCGTCAGATCAGAACTGCCTGTCGACTCCTGGTCTTGCTCGTTGCACCGTAGTCGCACACGCTCAATGATCGTGTCTGCATCTTGCACAAGCAGCGACGACACGCGCTTGCGAATGGCGTCGGAGGAGGAAGTAGTAGACGCGAGGAGAGATGCTTCATATTCTTTGAGCTCCTCGGACGTCAACAGTCCACGGTGGTGTAGTTCACGGCAGTTGGCAAGCAAGAGGTCGATCTCCATCGTGTCGCTACCAAGCCCCACACGCACACAATCTCCACACTATTTCACGTATGTTAACAGTAAAGTCGGTCGTCACGTCCCTTTAAGTCATGCCGTGTCTTGCACCCCACCACATACACACACCCCACTCATTCTAGCTCTGTCATTGTCATTGTTTTCGATTGTTGTAAGCTTGTGAACATGACCGACGTCACTACATGCCATTGAAGTCACCTGTACATTGGTACAGCACGTCTTGCTCACGTTGGAGGACCTGGAGGGCACAGGAATTAGTGAACGAGGCATGAGTAACTCACTGAATGGTTCTGAACGTGCATGCTTTCGCTTACAGCTCAAGAAAACGTAGCGCTGATCCTTTTTGTCTGTGTAGCACTCGAGCAAACTCTGGTCGGCACCACTTTCACAGCTATCTATTGCACGGTACTTAGTGCTTTTGGACATGAGCAGGCTAGAATGACCTCCACGGTGCGAGTCGCCTATTATATTGGTGCTGAGTAGAGTGCTGTCAACATCTTGGCAAAATTTGCTCACTTGTACTTATTCTTAGGTAATGACTACTCGTTCTTCTTTACCTCAACGTAAACGAGAAGCTTCGGCATGATGTGCGCGTAAATGCACACGTGTTCGAACGACAGCATTAGCATGACTTGCTATGCAGTCTGACAACAAATTAACTTACCTCCAGACCTTTCGGGAGTAAACAATGCTTGCTTGCTTGTTTGACAGGCAAGATGACAAGTCGAAAGACTCACATAAACGACGTCACCATATACAAGTCAAGGTGTACCAGACCAATTTCAAGGTGAAACATGCAGTCCGCAATCGTTAAGATACTAGAATAGCTAGTGCTGTCAACGGACAGCGATTCCCAGCTATGCGTGTTGAAAGGAACGTATCGAAGCAGTTGTAGACACGCAATTCTACATGTCAAGAAGTGGTTTGCAAGAACGTCCTAGTTGTATCGTGGAGTCGATTGATGCTGTACTGAGATCATTATTTCAAGCGAGTTGTTTGCATGCTGGACGTTTGCAAGTCCAGCCACTCGAGTCAATAACAGCACAACAATCTTTTAACTCAAACAGCACAAACACTATACGGCTTGCAAAAAATTGCAGCGTTAATACCGCTGAAGATCAAGAACCAGTCGACTAGAAAAGTCGATGCACTTGCTTGCATGAGAGTACGTGCTACAAAGTCCTTGTCAACAGATCACGTCGTCACTCATCTTCGCTTGATCGAACAAAATGTTCAGAATGCGCTAAGAGCTTGCATCACCGACGCGTAGTCCTAGTTGAGCCGAAAGCAAAGTAGCTGTATGCGTATGCAAGGTTCTGGAGTGATAGATAGCTCATGTTAGCGGTTTGATCAGACCCATTGGTAGTCAGTCAGTCACAAACTGCACATTAATTCAAAATGTAGCCAAGTCCACGATTGCGTCTTTTCGAAATCAGCTCAAGCGTTCTAGCTTAATGTTGCTAAAGAAGTGTTGCGCAACGTAAGTCTCGTCACTTACAACATATTACAAAACTAGTCTCCTTTCCTTTTTTCGTTGGTCGTACGTAGTAATTAATACTTGTAAGAATGGTGCACGAAGGTCTTCTGTGCGAAGCAACGGAAGCTGAAGTGGCCTTGGTCCAAGAGGACTTAGGCTTCGTGCCCAATAACCTTGTGAGAGTAAGCGCATTTGTCGACAGCAATGGCAACACGTCACGTAGTTGTACCTCACCCATCCATCGTCCCGCTGTGCTGCTGCTCTACCCATTGCGCAATGCCGAGGACGCGTACAAAAGGAAGCAGCGTGCCAAAGTCGAGCCCTTTCCAACCATTTACTGGCTTGCGTCAGCGAGATCTAAAGGCCCGTGTATCCACACTAGAGGACCAGCAATTCGTACTAACGCTGCAGCATCGACTAGATGCGGACGAAGCTGCCAAGGAGGTAAGTCTGCCATTGACACATTATTGAGCCACTACCTTTGTGTGACTTGACGCTGCAGAAAATGGTGCAGAGTCATCGTGAGTACGCGGAGCAGCGCTGGCAAATGATGACTCCACATGATATAGAGCTTGTCAAAAGCCGGGGCTGGGAGTTTGTCCTGCGTAATGTTGGTATTGCTGGCATTCGCGAGTTCACAAACGTCAAATGTCTGCACACACACTACGCGCACTACTTGGCCACTGGTAACAATCTCATCGGCGAGTGGGTACAGCGGCTGCTGGACAGCGCAGCGATTAAGCGGACAAAAGGGCTCAAGTGAGCGGACACAACGAAATGATACAAAGGGAATACTTTTACCTCTTTTTGTTGCGTCTGCTTACAAGGCGTCGACTTATAGTGATAGCGAGATGAGAGACCTAAGTATCTACATAAAGTATAAAGAGGTGTAGATCATGCCTTGGTCTACCCACCGCAGCAGTCGGACTTTGTCTGTGGTCCGTCCAAAGCGGTATCGATACACACTCGACTAGGACCCGACGATTTCCGGATCTGGTAGGTAGAATCGTCAAACTTGCGCAGAATCGTTGTAGCTATTAGTGTGAAGGCCTGAAAAGCAGTAGCAACAACCACAAGTTAGTTTACAAGTACTCCTTACATCTGCTAGGTGCGAGAAAGTGACGGACCTGCTCGACGTTAAGCGCCGTCTTGGCCGAAGCCTCGATGAAGAAGAGTCCATGGTCAGCAGCCCACTTGCGTCCGTCTTCCTCTGTCACTTCTCGTTCTCTGTCCTCTACGTCACACTTCATACCGACGACCATGATCTCTATTTCGTCGTTGTGGCAGTTTTGGTGGCATTCCTGGAGCCAACGGCCGAGGTGTTCAAAACTTTCTCTCCGACCCACATCGTACACGAGCAGTGCGCCGTCCGCTCCACGGTAATAGCTACGAGTGATAGACAGGAAGGTTTCCTGTCCAGCTGTATCCCAGATCTCTAGTTTCACCTTGCGGCCGTCCACCTCTAGCAACTTGGCCCCAAACTCAACACCGATGGTCAAGTCGTGGATAGGCTGGAAATGCTGTTCAGTCAACTGTAGTAGTAACGATGACTTACCAACCTCTGAATCTCCAATGACAATGTACTTGAGCGTGACAAATACCATAATTTACAAAGCTATTGACACTTGAAGAATAGCTTCACCAAGATGTTCTTCCTCTTCCTCGAAAAGACGTAGCGTATCCTTGGATGATTATTCTATTGCATAGGATCAGGTAGAAAAACAGTTGGTATGGTTAGCTCACATTCGGACAATACTCAGAATGTTGTTTCAACGATTTTGCCGGTGTAGGAACAAAGTCAAAATAAGAGATACAAGTGTAGCTCATGCAGCGTTCAAGTCTTATCTTAGTATTTCCCCACGTCAGTCACTGCTAATCATCGTCAATGCTTCAGACTGAATTCAATACCTTACAATATCTCCGTCGTCACTGCTTTGCATTCACCTCAATTGTGTAGTCATAGTCAATTGTTGGTATGACCGACTGAATGAACTTGAGAAACAAGAAAATGTACTGGTCGCTGCGAATCTCATTCGCAACTTGATCTTCTGTCTCAGTCTCGCCGGGCTTGCGTGCCTTAAGATTGGCAATGATGCGCTTCATGACAGCGCCGTGCTGACACGGGTGGATGGACGCGTGCACGAGTGAGCTGCGGTGCGGGTGTGGTTCCATGGTCACGGTCCGGTTGGCGTAATCTTGCATAATGTCCTCGAACATCTGATCGCCGCTAAGTGGCGCGTTACGCTCGTCATAGCCAAAGAGCCACACACGCGGCGTTTGGTAGTATTTGTCATAAGTAATCGACAGGTCGTATGTACGGGTGCGCAGGATAGCATCATCTGCGTCATCCGGTTCGCTGGCTACAAGGTAACTGCCAGCCGTAGGACCAAGCGTCGCTTCATCATCCTCGACTAGGTTGTCTTCTTCCTCGTAGGAGTTCAAGTCTCGCAGCTCTGGCTCCGCAAGACGTCCGTCCGTAAAGTGTTCGTCTACGATGGCACCCAGGATTCCTCTGCTCTCGTTCTCTTTAGGTTTGCTATCCAAACACGAAAGATCTTCCATCTCTTCACTAAGATCTGTAACAGCATTGGAACTGCTATCTTCATTGGCGTAGGAAGACGCAGCAACCCACTCGTCTTCTCCTTCCACGGCTTCCTCTGTCTGATAGCTCAGCTCCAAAGCCGTTACACGACGACGACAGGGCACTACATAAGAGTAAGCATCATGAAAATAGTATGAATCAGTATCCAATCTTCGAACTCAAACCAGTCAATCCATTGCAAATGATCTCAACCGTTTCGTGTGACTAGAAACTGCTTGTCTATCGGTAAATACGCGCGTCGAAGATTTGGTTCACCACTTTCCCATCGCCATGTAGGACATTTATACACTAAAAGATCACCAGCTTTGACAAATTCTTCCGGTGTCAGTAGTCCTTTGTTTTCAAATGATGACTCAGTTAATACTGGCGTGAGATACTCCCGGACACCATGAAGTAGACTTTGCATGTCTCGAATTAGCTTGTTCAAAACGAATGAATGAAAAATAGCCTTTTCAATAAAGTAGAGGGCGTAGAACCTTTTGTAGTTAATATGTAACAACTCATCAAAACACCACCTATTCTACCAAAACCAAACCTCTATCATATTATATATTTCATATTTACTCTTTGCCTAATGCTTCCTCGCCTAATGAGCTTCACCGTACGATGCTTTGACATGCCACTAGCTTTGAACCAAGTGACCGTCTCGCTCTCAAGTCACTACAATCGCATGACACACCCAGAGAAACACTTGGAGCAACTTATGATACAAACATGGGAGCAACTTAAGCAACAGACGCCGAGACTTTTCAATGCGTCTAAATTTCGTCTTCAGAACTTCAGCACTAGTGCTAATGACCATCACTCTTTACTGAAGTTGCACTTGGGAGTGACTGATTATGCATCTTACGTGGGAACGTGCTGCTCATCATTAACATCGCAGCTATTGGAAGATGGAGATCGATTGCGTGGAGACCGCTTTGCCTTCTTATCAAGGAAAGTGGGCGTAGCGGCAGTGGTCGAGACTATCGATGGTCACGTGGTGTTTATCAAGAGAAGCAAGAGTGTTGGTCTTTACCAGGATCTATATGATACTCCTGGTGGACACCCAGAGCCGTCTAATATTCAATTGACGGAGGACATTCTACAGACGCTGGAGGACAGTACGAGGATGCAAGTGGAGAAAGCTGCAAGACAAGAATTCTTTCAGTCTATTGTGAATGAAGTCTATGAAGAAGTGAACGTGTCTCCGCAGCTACAACAGCCGCCAAAGCTACTCGGGGTCGTGCTGCAAACGGACGCGTGCACGCCTAGCTTCTGTGTGTTAATGACTGGTGTAATTATTTATAGATGGGCGTCGTGAAGAGGCTTCTGACTCTGTTTTGGTAATGTGTGTGGGTTGCAGCTTTTCATATCAAGACCGAATGCTCGGCGCAGGAGTTGAAAGAGCTCTACAGGATTGGACCTATGGACAAGTTTGAGTCGGTGAAGTTGGAGCTTTTGGCGGTGGAGAGTTTGCTCGCGGAGGGATCGACGATACTGTATGACCGTTCGCGTGTTGCATGATGCGTTTGGATTGTGCGTGGTCTGATTTTATTGTCGTGTTATTGCTACTGCAGTGAAGAGCTGCAGCTGACGCCTTCAGCCAAAGGCACGCTAGGACTGTGGAAGCAACACACCCTGCGTGCCAGACAAAAGCCATAGAAAACGAATTGTGTATGATAGAATACCATTTTGTCTCATTTGTGCACTTCTCCTATGTGTTGTGCTGCTAAAACGAACAACTGAAGTGCTGCTTGGTAGACTTGTGGACTTCCATAGTCAGAGCAACACGTGCAAGAACTCAACACACGTCGCCGAGAACGTGTACGTAGATCGCGAAATTCCGACTTGTAGTATGGGCGGACTGTCGAACCCTTGTATCAAGCTTGCCGGCCACCACAGCCATGACGTGGATAATTGACACTGTTGTGTGGGGTGCGAGGGACCTACCGCTAATACGGGTGTTGCAACGCTCATCAGTGTGATAATTTCGTGAATGTATGCCCGACGAAGCAGCGGCTTTGCTCGATTGCAGCGCTTTGAAATGTATCTCGGTTACCCTTCCTGTACGGAAGTTCTGGAGATGTAGGTCTATCTCGGTCTCTAGCTTTCACTAGATTTTCTGCACTGTCACGTCAATGACAGCTGTCAGGAACTGCAGGTGTCCATATTTGAGAGCTACGTGACGCGTGGCATATCTGCCAATACTTTTCGGGTCCGTTCCTCCAAATGCTGTAGACGAACGTTTCGATTCTGAGCCACGATCCAGCGGACACACTAGTGGGTAGCACTAGTGGGAAGCGCCACGACTTGTGCAGTCATCCTCGAACAGCCTAGTAACCATGCCGACGGGGATAGCGCGAGCATTGCTGACATGGACACAGTCGAACTTCGTCGACGCACTCAATTGCCTTCTCACCGTTTGGAAATGCAAGTACCCTGCTTCACTAGCTGCTCAAGGCTCATCAATGAGCGAAATTGTTATTTTCAACATCGATTTCGCTGTTCGGATACGGTCACGTTGAGTTCGGTCATGATGTCTGAAAAGCATTGAGGGACGAATCCTTGTCGTATCTGACCATTTCAATTGCGTTCACTAGCTCTTCGCGCGTGCATAAGTCCAGGTACGTGTTCAGCCACCTTGACAGCTGTAAACAGACTGAGTAATCATCCTATGATCATCTGCTCATGCAGCAAAATTGCGCAGACTGCAATAGCGTTTTGTATTTGCCCCTTTAGGATAAAGTTGTATAGTATTTAGTGATTACGACTCGCTTAGCTAAAAAGCGTAGACACCAAATCTTTCGTACTGATCGAGCTTGCACATCATCAAAACATTCCATTCAAGGCTATCCACATTGAAGTACTTTAGCTCCTAGCACGTCATCAACCTTTTCCATATGTTGTCGTACTATAGCTGTAAGCCTGTTATATTGTCAATATCATAACAGAAGATTAAGAGTATAAAGATAGATAGAGAGAGAACAGATTGTCTATTTACTGGTTAGTGCAAGATCTCTGGTGGGTCCACCACGACTGGCTGCCTGGCTATGAAGGCCGGGCTGCCCTCTCGGTTCTGATATAAATATGTCGTAACATGCAGAAAGTTGAGCACCCCGCACGGCCGTGTCAGCCCTGCAATGGAGGCGTTTAATGAGCGCTCGCAGTTGGAGCTGAATCCTGCCCCAAATCAAGGCTTCACTGGCTTGTATTGGGATATCCGCATGGCGAAACACCCTGTCGACGCGGTGTTGCCAGAGCATTGCGGTCCCTGCGACCTCCCATATCGTCTTCCAGGCCGTGGCAAATTGATCGATCTCGTCGGGGTAACGGGCTACCAGCATTGCTGTGACCCTCGGTGAAAGGCGTACGCTACGGTTTGCGCAGTGCTCGATCCATCCCAGTAGGTGGTGGTGAGGCTTACGGCCAATCACTGATAGAGTATAAAGATAGAGTAAAGTAGGAATAAAATAAGTAGCAGTATGCTATATAAGCTAAAGAAATCTAGTTATTTTACTGCCACCGAAAACTGTAACCAAGCTGCTTTTAAAAAATCAGTACTTTGATTATATTAGAAATCAGAGGTCTTTTTGTTGTTTTGTGGTAACTTGCATTGATTTTCTAGTTATTACAGTTGTACGTTAAACAGAACAGGAAGAAAAACAATGGACGTGGTGACGCCGACTCAATTAGAAACCAAGATCCGTGAGAAGATTGGTGCCTCACTAGTGGAGGCCGTGGATTTGTCTGACGGTTGTGGCAGTAAATTTAGTCTCGTGGTGGTTCATGAAGGCTTCGAAGGTACTCGTCGTCATTGAGTCGTCTACGACAAAGAGGTTACAAATTAACACAACGTTGTTATCTCTCTTAGGTCAGTCGTTACTGGAACGTCAGCGCCGAGTAAATGACTGTTTAAAGGAAGAAATGACGCGTATTCATGCGCTGCAGATGAAGACGTGGACGCCTAAGCAGTATGAGCAGAAGACGCAAAAGAAGATGCCTTCTTCGGGTGATAGTCAGCTCTTGGGAGAGCAGTAAAGTCAACACGGAAATCCCATTGCTCTCGATAGAAGCAAAAGCGCGCAGCTGGTGTCACTGGTAGTTTGTCAAACGTAAGATATGTGACTATTGCAGCTGTAGGTCGAACTTGTGGGCAGTATGAAGATGTGAGGGGGGGAGAAGTTAAAAGCTTGCACAAAAGAAATGACCCAGTTTGTGCAAGCTCCAACTCAGTACTCGACTTTTGCTGCTTTGAAGTGACTTAGATCCTTTTCCGACAAGTTGATGTACACTCGCCGCCTTTGTACTGTAGCCAAAGGGCCACAACCTGGCCATACTGTAGTGTTGATTACGCGATTACACGCAAGCAGATGAAGTGATAAAGCACCGCTGCTTCTGCTGTTGCTGGCCTTCTTTGCCTCGACAGAGGCTCTTGCCTTCGTACGTTCGACTGAAATGCCATCACCAAGGTATTGACAGCATTCTTGGCAGCATGATTTGAAACTTTAGCTCGTCACTCATCAACGTTTCGCCTAATTGGCTACAATGATTCAAATGTAATGAAGCATCTTTCACAGCAGCAGCTGAAGGAGTAGCAACTGATAGGTCGCTTGAGGCCAGTCTCTACTTCATCTGGGATGTTAATCTAATGCGTATCCTCCGCATACTTGGCAGACAGTTGTCATTGCAGCTCATCCCTTTATCTTACGTTGTATTCCATCACACGCTAATGATGACGCTGGTAAAGCTCCTTGGACATAATGCCTGCCGCGAGCCAAGCCCACACCTTCACTTCTATCGCTTTGCTGTACGACGAAAATGGTGCGTAGGCCGCAGCAAAAGGAGATGGTTTTGACCGTGTTGCATAGGCTGCACGATGCCTCATGGAAAAGCAGCTGTTTCACCCAACACAGTTCTCCAGCAAAGCAAGTAAGCTTACTATCAGAGGCACATAAGCGCTTACCTCTACTTTTCTACTGCTTGAATGACAAGCTTTACCGCCGAGAGCGATTCATTAGTTAGTTAGATTCGTATCGAATCCACCAGTGGCATTTGTCTTACCAGGACAGTCTGAGCCAACAAGGTCAACGATGTAATCTCGTGACAAATCATATTTACTGACAAGATTATCATTAATGATCGTGACTTAGGCCCGAGTTTATGTCCGTCCATACGCATGGAGAACACGACACAACCGAGTGTTCAGCTGTTCATCTTTGCTTTATCATGATAGTTCTATCATTTGTTTTTTCTATAAATACGAGTGTTTTCATCTATGAATTCGTCGTTTTCGTATCTTTTTACTACCAGTATTGACTCAATATCGAATACGCTGCATGCAAAATCTCCACAAAATGAATGACACCTTGGGGATCGGCCTTAGCCCGTTCCATTTCTATGCGATTCCCTTGTCTGTTACACTAAAAAGTGCGAGACGAAAAAAATGACGAGTCTATAACAAAGAGACGATGAAGAGCCAATCATGGGTCGCTAAGACCGTACGTAGCCTTGGATGACGACGGCAGTGCTCACTAGACAAATTTACGACAGCTTGCCAAGTGTTCTGGATTCATTAAATCTTTCTTAGTATTAGTACTATCATGGTCGATTACCTGAAGAAGACGTGTATTGCTCAATCACACATTCATGATACTACTGCTATGTGTCCAAGAAACAAGAAGATTGCGACGAAAGAGGAAGAGAGCAAACAATTTGCCATGGACGAGCAGATTGAGACCGGTTTCAAGTGGTCTGAAGTTGTCTGGTATAATGTGATCGTGCTGGCCTTGTGGCACATTGGGGCACTGTACGCACTACTATTCGTCATGCCGCACTGTTCGTTCAAGCAATTGCTGGTGCTCTGGGTTTTGCTCTGGATTGTGGCCGGCCTGGGCATCACGGCAGGTGCACACCGTCTCTGGTCACACCGTGGCTACAAGGCTAAGCTACCATTACGTATATTCCTCATGCTGTGCAACTCGATGGCATTTGAGGGCACCATTTTTGAGTGGTCTCGCGACCACCGTGTACACCACAAAGGATCAGACACGACGGCAGACCCGCACAACTCGGAGCGTGGACTCTTCTTTGCGCACATGGGCTGGGTCATGGTGCGCAAGCACAAGAACGTGCGCATTGCCGGTAAGAAGCTTGATTTCTCGGACCTCCTGGATGATCCTGTCGTTACCTTCCAGATCAGGCATTATTTGAAGATGGTGCTACTCATGTGCTACCTGTTGCCCACGGCCCTGGGCTACTATCTTGATAGTATCTGGGCGGGTTTCTGGGTAGGCGGTGTCTTTCGTCACGTCTGGGTACTACACATGACGTGGATGGTGAATAGTGTAGCGCACTTCTTTGGGTACAGGCCATACGACCGCAAAATCCATGCCGTCGAAAATCTTATCGTTGCGCTCGGTGCACTCGGCGAGGGCTACCACAATTACCAGTCCGTTTTCTGATTTCTCTGCTCTTTGCACGCGACTAATGCTCTCTTCTTTGCTTTTCTGCAGCCACAAGTACCCGTCAGATTACGCGACGAGCGAGTGGGGAATCCTTAGCGGACAATTTAATCCGACCAAGGCGTTCATCGACTTTTGCGCCCTAATTGGCCAGGCCTACGATCTCAAGCGTAGTCGTACAGCCGCGAAAACCCGCGAGCACATGGCGAAGCAGTTTTGCGAGGAGCGTCTGAAACGCGGAACAAGTCCGGATATGTCATGGTGGGACCGCCAACTGAGTCAGTTCTTTTTTGGCAAGTCGGAAGCTCAGATCTTTTAGTAACTTCGTGGAGGAGGATTGGTGCCCTGAGGCTTGAAACTGATGGGCGTCAGTCGCATTAGTCCGCCTACGGATGATAGAAGAAGTGGAATTATTGAGCAAATGCAGTAGTGCATACGACCCCTTGCTCTTGCTCGGTATGTATTGTACACAGCGAGCTGTGAGTTTTGGATGTCTACGGTCTCTGGCCAAGTTTGTGGTTGCTTGCGATCATTTGAAGCAATGGCTACAGCATTAGCTTCAGCTTTCAAGTATTCCTGTGCATAGCGGACACCACATGCATAACTTTAAATGGGCGCGGTTCAATGCATTTCCAGTGATTGAAATTATACATAATACACGGCCGGTTTAGAAGATTGAGTGCGAAAAAGGACCTATTGAGATGTAGAACGTAGCATTTTATTGCCGTCATGTATATTCCATAAAGTTCTACTACATCTCGTTAGAACGACTGCAAGTTATTTGCTTGCGTCAGTAGGTAACATATACGAGTTACGAGTTCCATTAAGATACAAATAGTTATCATAGGAGTTGTTTACTATCAACATAACCTTAACCGGATCATAGAGCATGTATACAGCATGGAAGTCCACTCTTTTTTTCAATTCTAAAAATGTCACACCATTTCTAAAATAATCGTCTGGCTTTCATTAAATTTGCGTATATGAAATCTAAATATGAATTTAAAACAGGTTGAAGTTACTGATACAATGAAGGGAATTATTAGTGTGTCAACTGCTTCAAAGCCGGCTGTATCCATCCTATACAAGAGCAATAACAATAGCTTATTGCATAGAGAGAGACAGGTCGAATGTACATTAGATATACGTAATCATTATTACAAACCCTGATGATTTATTTGTGTGCCATTTTTGCACTCCTTATCATTCAAGCGGATCCCGCAACCAGCCATGTCACTCCTGTCTCTCACTCGTCGTCGACTCTCCTTATTGCGTCTTCCATCCTCCTCTTTTCATAGTATTATGAGCCAACACGATCTCTCCACTGCTGCGACACAGCTCGCGTCTCTCAAGGGACAGAACTTTATGTCTGCAGCTCAGCTAAACACTGAGCAGTTGTCGGGACTTTTGGCTCAGGCGCAAGAATTCAAGGCCACATACTCGGACGAAGCTACAAAGGCATCGGCTCCTAAGCCGCTTACGGGCGAGATCTGCTCTATGATTTTTCAGAAACGCAGTACGCGCACACGTATCTCGAGTGAAGTGGGAATGCATTTGCTGGGCGGTAAGGGTCTCTTTCTCTCGTCCGATGACATTCAATTGGGTGTGAACGAGACGCTCAAGGACACGGCGCTCGTACTCTCGCGCTTCAATAGTCTCATCCTAGCACGCGTATACGAGCACAAGGACATTCTAGAGCTGGGCGAGCTCGCCACGGTGCCCGTGATTAACGCACTCTCGGACAAGTTTCATCCGCTGCAAATGCTAGCTGATTATATGACGGTGAAGGAGCATTTTGGCAACATTGAGGGCCTTACGTTTGCCTGGGTAGGCGATGGAAACAACGTACTGCATGACTACATGTTGGCCGCACCTAAGCTTGGTGCCAACATTCAAATTGCTACACCACAGGGCTACGAGCCTGACCAGGACGTTGTGGACGAAACCAAGCGCCTCGCCGCACTCGCAGGCACCAAGTTCATCATGACAACTGATCCTGTGGAAGCTGTTAAGGGCGCTAACGTTGTGGCCACTGACACGTGGATCAGTATGGGCCAGGAGGCGGAGGCACAGAAACGTCTCAAGGCGTTTGCAGGCTACCAGGTCACTAAAACGATGCTGCAGAACGCGCACGACAACCACGTCTTCCTGCACTGCCTGCCACGTCATCAGGACGAGGTGGACGATGAGGTAAGAAACATGGGGATTTGTATTTGCTAGACAGACTGGCTACTGATAAACGTTGTTGTGCCGTGGTCTACTTGACTTATTACAGGTCTTCTACGGACCCCGTTCGCTCGTGTTCGACGAGGCCGAGAACCGCCTGTGGACTGTGATGGCCGTGTACGCGTCACTGCTCGGCAAGTTCTAAGCCAACATCCTGGATCTTGTTGTTCACTATGAACGCCGGGTCGTGGTGGTCAATGAATGGAGACAGCAATGAACACTCATGGTACGCTTACGAGTTCTAGTATTGCTTTTTGCTGCCCCTCCTTGTTTCAGTTGCGTTGTGAAGCAGCGACGTTGCATTTCATAGGAACATATGTGGAGATCCCAAGACTTACGATCCTTTGAAAAGTGCCCCAGTGAAGCTTACTGCAGCGATGAGAGGTAGAGAGTGTGCATTCGAGCATGAGGAAGTATGATTGCTGAAATATATGATTGCTATTCTTTGATGACGCAAACCGACAGACTTGGGGCGAAGTCGTGTCCACACATTTGGCGGACAACTTCCACTTGTCCAAATTAGGTTTGGATTATCAGTGGTTCCATGAATGGTCAAAAGGAGCCTGTTGTTACTTCTAATCGATGGCAACGTTATTTCACTGCTACTAGTCTGATGCATACATTCTCCATGCACAACAGCTTTGACATAACAAGCTCGGCATAAAGTCAGTGACAAGCTTTTCTTGAATCAGATGTGTGGTTTGCACATCAACAAGTGTCAAAGGGCTAAATTCTTACACAAGGAGTTTAAGATGCAGATCACGCTAAAGGAGCGCCATGTGTTGAAGCGACAAGTGCAAAAACCAAGCTGTCTATTGAAACTGCGCTGTCACCATGAACGAGGTAAATGTATACCAAAAAAACATCTGTTGGGACAGCACAAAGATGGTGTCTGGAGCGACTATATGTAGATTGTCGATATTTGTCAAACAGGAAGTTTAATTGGTAATTTGTAGTTGAGAGTGTATAGTATACATACACACCTGCCACACCATTCTGGTGTGGCTGTACTTTGGGTATATTGAGGCTCACATCGCCTTGATGTAACCGTATCTAAGGTACAATGAGCTCACATCGTGGTCTTAGTACTTAAGTACCATCAATACATCAGTAGGAAGGATACATAGCCAGTTGAATATAGTGTCTAGTACTAAGCATAGAGTAGGTGTTTCTATTTTAGTGCTAGACGATAAAAGTTAAATAAATCAGTTAAGAACCTGCTCTGTATCGCATTTGTTGCTAGAGTGTATTTCCTTTGCAACGAAAGTAGTATCTGTGGATACTGGTCTCATAGAAATGTGGTTGTTACAACCAGAAGGAGCACAAGCTTATGAAGCTAGCCTTGAGAGGGTTGTTAACCCTAAGACTAAAGCTCGTAGAGCTTGTCTTCCTCTGCACGAAGTGATAAGTAGCTTTGATACTGTAATGGAGTGGGTTCTCAAAACTGCGTAATGAGACCCCAAGCCATTCACTGTGCCGGACTGCCGACTGTCGGAGGGGGTAGGTACCACGATTCCGCGTACAGACCTTCTCTCACCTTGTGTACCCGTCGGCTGGCGGGTTGCACTCTTTGGAAGACTTGGTGGAGATGCGATGTCGGCCTTGAAAGAGGTCGACCTTGGGGTGTCTCGAGTGGATATACTTCACTCGGTAGGCTAGTAGGTGGTCACTTGCTCGACTAGGTCGAGGAAAGTTAAGAACCAATTCTTCAGGGAGATTCTCGACCCTGGACTTTCCTCAGTTGTCTCAAAGGTATAAACCGCCAGGCCTTTACTTGCGTACAAACTTTTGTCTTACGATACTTCCTCTTTGAGCAGCTGTGCTTTGCACTTCCACTAAAGCATCCTAGTGTTACGACACTTGATTATAAGCGTTAAGTGCCAAGCACTTGGTACAAAAACCTCTAGTGTTATGAACACTGCTTATACAGCATTAGGTGTCTAGCACTTGTTTTCAAGTATTGTCCATATTGCGCTTGCTCCCTTATGGATGCTGCAATGCGCCTTGACATCTTTGGGAACGATGACAGTGACGCTGCCTCTTGTGCCAGTGGCGCCGAGTCTCCGTCGGGTCATCTTACCCCGCGTTCACCACGCTCGCTGATCGAAGAACGTCAATCACGTTCCGTGTTCTCGTCCCCAAGGAGAACGACTGCATTACGTCAAGTGCCACCGCTTTCTCTCGTGAGGGTATCGACGAAGAGGCGCCTATCTCTCTTGAGGCTGCACAGCGTCGTCAAATCGATGACGAGGCCCGGTCGGCCGCCTTCGCAAGGCCCAAACAAAGCTCTTCACGTCGTGATTATGGGTTCGTGTCTCGGGACACCAATGAGGAAGCTTGACGAGCTGCATCGCAATCATTTCGTACTTATTTCATTGGGTCCCAGGATTGCACTGCTTGCGAGATCGCGGATCGTGACGCGCTTCGTCAGGGCGTCTCCTTACTTCACTGGAGTTTACGATGAAGTCTTATCAGGAGTGACTGTCACGACAGTCATGTGGAGTGCCTGTGCATCCACTGAACGACATACCAGTGGTGTTTGTACCAGGTGAAACATCTGCGCAAGATTATCACCAGTTCACCCGTTAGGTTGAACAAGCGTGTAAGCTTCCAAGTCTTTCTGACTTGCTCTTAAGCGCTAAAAAGAGCAGAACGTTTGGTTAGAACGTCTTTACGTTTTAATCTACTGGAACTGTTGATCCCCCCCAGTTCATCAATCAGCGTCGGCAACACGCCCCCTCAATGCGAATTCATGAATATCGATTGCAGCTGTCAAGTCCTTGTGACGAGGTCCCGGAAGCGCCTTCGTCAAGATATATCGCATGAATATCGAGTGCAGCT